CGGATCTCGCCGCCGTTGTTACACGAGTCAGCCCTATGGAGCTCTGAATGACTCGCAGCCCCTCAACCCTTGCGGGTAGTTGGGCATACCAAGACCGAGTTCCCGAGTGGGCGAGGACTTGGGATCGGAATGCCACGATGGAGACTGGGTCCGGCTCCTTATAAGACCACTTCAGGAACGGATCTAAGCGGATAAGCGTAAATATTAGGTGAGATATGGGACGAGGTGCCCACAGTTGCATGTGGTGGGCAGCACATTTCTGGAAATGCGGCCGGAGGTCCGTGTGACGGTTGAAGATTGCCATTTTGATAAGGGTCTGCTCCTGGATATCACGACAACGAGAACTCGTTGGAGGAGGAGCAATAAGTCTGCAGTCTCGCCATACGTTGGAACGCCAGTTTTTGCTTGCCTTGTCACGATGAACTTTGTGTATAAGACTTTGACCTTAGGAAATGCTCGCAGTTTTCAGCGAGCAATTGTGAATATGAACTCTATGTCGTTTGAGTATCCATCGTACTGCAGTAGTGCTGTGCAAAAGAAACAACGAAGAAGCTCTTAGCAAACCTGCTCACCACCTGCTTCTTTTCATGACTCGAGATGCCTGATCTGGAGGGTGCTGATTTGAACAACTGAAACGCGCATGCCCTCGATATTCTTGGCCAACCTGTCAGGGGGAACTTTTGGATTGAGCCTCCTGCCATTTGGACCGTAAATAGTGGTTTAAATGGGGAAGACTTCCCAATTTTGTACGTCAATGCAACTCCAGGCTTCCTTTATGGGATGCTCCCCAGCTACGCCCCTGGTTCCAACGTGGAGAGGGTCCTTTCATTCCTGGTATCTTAAGCCGATGGGATTTGACATGTCAGAAACGTGGCATGCATGTGCCGTAAAATCCTTATTCCTCAAGGTGCGCAATTCCCATGCTGTGACCGGCTGAGCAACCGGGGCACCTTTTTAGGTAGCTTCAAAGTTGGTAACGAGAAATTCAGGAGCACTTTTGTCGGGCACGCTTAAATTGCTTCCAATCAGCTTCCGAGGAGGCGCTTGTAGATGGAAGACTTATGGAGGTTATGGGTATTTGCCTCTCAGGCCATCACACTGCATTCCCTTTTTCGAGTATGATATCTGGAGCATGGCAGATTGAGTTCAATAACTAGGCAGGTTTCGGATTATCGTGAGATGGATGGAGCCACTCGATGAATTGATGTGAGCATAAGTATAACAGGGGCTTGAAGCCCATCCTTTGGCTCAAATTCGAATGCAGGCTACCCTCAGACATCTGTGGAAGCCATCGCTAGAGTCCTGTGATCGGAATATTCTCTAATCTCTTTACTGCAGTTTTCTGTAAGCCCTAAACACAACAATATTGATTTACTAGGACGTTAAAGCTGACATCATGCCCTGGAAGCCAGTGTAAGAACCAAGATGAAGACGATCGGTACACTCCTCCTCGCCACTCTGGCCAGCCAGGCCTCGGCAGCGGTCCAGATGGAAGTGCGATTCAGCGACAGGATGATCGACGTCGGCAACCTCGACCTCTTCGCCGTAACGTGGCAAACCATCTACGGAGAGACCGGCAACACCAGAGCCATCATGACGGACCGCTCCGCCGGCGCCCAGACCAACGAGTGCACGCACGCCGACGACTACGACCCGGACGTGACGGTGCGAGTCAAGATGAACGGAGCCTGGGGGAAGACGCCAGGCCTCGAGGGCAACGAGATGCGCGACGGCCTCGTCCAGTCCATGTGGGAGGTTCTCAGCAGAGTCTCGGACCCTTACGGATACGAGGTCTTCAACGGCTGCCGGGGACTGACGTGGATGGAAAGCGTTGGGTACACGCCCGACGCGGCGTGTGGTCCCCAGAGTTCGAGAAATTGTCAGTACGCGTGCCGCAGGGAGAACTCGCCCGGGTTGGCGCAGTGCATGAACCATACTTGGGGCCACAAGGTGCCGTCGTCGCTGCGGGTGACGGCGTACATTGACGGTCAGCTGCAGCCTGATGACTTGATTATTGAGTTTTCTGCTACTGCCAACTCGGAGAGCGGTGGATGCGGTTGGGTTGGGAGCATTGCTGGTGCTCTTGCTGGATTCATTCCTGTTGGAGGCAAGCTGTTTGCCAAGGGTATTGAGATCGGTTGTAGCGATTGAGCTTCACTTGCCACCAAGTGAGTGATGGAACTTTGGTCCGAGTTGATGCTGCTATTCAATATTAGACATTTGTCAAACTTTTAAGCTTAAATTCGCTTTATGTTGATCCTTCGTGTGACCGAGGTCAAATGGCACTTACCAAAGTCCCTTTGGCGTGAGATCCAGGTATCATTGTCCTAGATTGCGGTTGCATCGGCAAATTCCAGCAATCAAAATTGTCCATTTTCTCAAGGATATTATAACCTAGAGTAATATTGCGTGATGATTGGGCTGCGCCGGAGCTAATATCAACCATCAGGTTAGATTCTTATCCAGGCAACAACATGAAAACCACCCAAAATTCCGCGATTCCCTCAACTTTTGCACCATGACAGTCCCAATTCAGGATCTTTGTCACACATCCAGTTCCCACTCACCTTCACCATGCCGACGCCTACTCTTTCCGGGACAGCCCTCCTCAACCTAGGACCTCTAACGACAATATGGACAGCCCCGGCATCATGCGCAACCTCAACCCCAACCCCGGCGCTAGCTCGCAAATTCGATCCGGGCGTGGCATACTGGCAACAAACCTGCGAAGTCGACCGCGACCCATACGACGACTGCATCCCCTCCGGCGATGCCATGAACTCAGAATACCACTCACGCCGGACCTCTACTGAGCGGTTCCTCTTCCATTATTCCCCGGGCAGCCAGTGTCCCTCCGGATGGGTCACCGCAGGCTACGGTATCCGCGATGAGACATCGTCGCATTCATTGAGCGGCGTCTTTGCCGACCCGACGCTGACCTTCGACGCCGGGACGACCACGTCTATTGCGTCGGAGATTAACCCCACGTTTGAGTTGAAGGCGGATTTGTTCATGTCTGCGATGGAGCCTTCGGAGACTGTGATCGCGTGTTGTCCGAGGTAAGCTCAGCACCCTTTTGAAGTTAGTTCTCCTTCTCGAAAGCTGGGAAAGGTCTGATGATGTGTTCTTCTTTTTCTTAGTGGGTATACCGCGGGACTATATGGGAACTGCTACTCTTCGACCGCCAGAGAGGTTTACACTGCGTCTACAGGTTGCAAGTTGTACAATGTAAACGATGTGGAAGTGGTAGACCGCACGTTCACTTTCCACGGGAGAGTCGTTACAGGCAGCTCCATATCGATCAAGGGCTCGGTTGTTTCGTTGCAACCGAACACAGTGACTATTGAGGCAAAGGACAGCACGAGTTACGTTGGCGCGTTGATCACGCCTGGGATCACGCTTGTGAATAAGGGTCTTTCTGGGGCTGCAGTTCAGACCTCGGCTGCTGGTACTGGAGAGAGTTCGTCTACGGGCCCGACTGAGACGCCCAGTTCTGGAGTTTCTTCTAAGGCCGCCGGTTCGTCTATAGTTAATGGCGTTATGATGGCTGTTTGGGGAGTTGCGGTAATGGCGGGTGCCGCTCTCATGGTGCCTCTTTGATATTGACAAATCCGCCGATCACACAAATACTCTCTTTCTCATGAACCTGCATACATCTCATTACATACTTGCATTGAAGTACAATTATGAAGACTGATTCCGCCTCATTCATCCCCGCTCTACGAAGTAATTCTAGTCGGGAGGTCCGACCGAGTCATTTACATAATCGGTGGACCCTCCTAGCTCAACTCTAAGTGGACAACCCCAAAATGCACGCGAAGCGAGTCCCATCCCTTTGCGGAGACACACACAACAAAAACGTAGCAAACTCTCTCACTTCTGCTCACCGTCAATCTGCAGCAAATGTCAAAAGGGAATCCAAGGACCGACCGCGATTCGAACGCGGGGCCTAGAGATAGTTACAGCTGAGGAACTGCAATCTCTCGCTCTACCACTGAGCTATCGATCCAAGTGGTTATTGCTGGTGTCTGTGGCTCGTAGTTGGATTCATGGATGCTAATCTTCTGCAAGCTTCTGCAAGGGAGGATTTCCAGCCCACAAACAATCGGGCTAACAACTTGCCACTTTCGCCGTGTTCCGAGCAACGAGATTGGTTGACAAAAACTATGCTGACGTCTCATAGAGTCATTGATAATAACAACAATAGCAACGAAATTACTCACACCCAAACTCTGGTGTCACCTGGAAAGATGAGTCAACAGTAGAACGAACAAAGACACCGGCTTCTCGGCTGACGGACTTGACCGGGACGGACATGGACCCATTGGAGGGGCTGCTCCACCAGTCTACAGCAAACAATACCTAAGCCCCAATCTGAGCGGGAATCGTCATCCAACAGCGGTTGCTTTCGTAGCTCAATTTGGTCAGAGCGTCCGACTTTTACGAGTAAAAGATCATCGGAAGGCTGTGGGTTCGAGTCCCACCGATCGCGTCTCTTCTTTTGCATTTTGAGATACTTCACCTCTCGCTTGCAGTGTCCTCCCTTTTGGTTTTGTGACTGTCCGGCAGTTGGCAGTAGGTACTGGCAGCTACTAGCAGATGGATGGAGAGGGGCTTGGTCAGGCTCTGCATGTGCATCGAATTGTAACTGTGTGCCTAGTGTCAAGTGCTCAAAGGCATAACGGAAACGTCAATCATCAGCACTTGAGATAAGTTAAAAGGATTTAGACGCCTATCAATGTTTGCATTGTTGCGTGCTTCCTATCACTTGCATCAGAGAGCCGGACATGTCAGAGTATGGCCGGGCTGTGCCCCACTTCCGACGACCTTCGACTACCAGCGTATCTAGCATTTTTAGAAGTCGTCCTACTTTCTTTCCATGAAGGAAACAATCATCGAGGTTGTCTTGTCATTCTTTGGAGATTGGGATTGATCTATGCCGACCTTGGCATAACAAAAAGTCCCCCCAGCAGCTAAAAAAAAAAGCCATCCATTCTGCATCAGACTAGGGTCAAGTCACGCGGCACGACTCCCAAGAACATGCCGCGACTCTCCGATACTGCAAACGTCCCAATCCGCTCGAATGCACCCTCATTCCGCAGCGATTCTCGCAGGACCAAGCCAACTTGCATGTGGTATTCAGTATGTGCACAGGTACAAGACTGGTTGATTGGTCCCTCCCGGTCATGCCCAACTGGCGTCGCGACGCCTAGCAGCATAATGTAACATTTGAACCCATCACTGGCTTGGAACGAACCGCGAAGCCTCGCGCAATCCGGCAGAAACCGGAAGATCATGTGAGAATTGCGATCCAAGGGATCACCGTCGTAACAGCTAAACAGATGTGGAATTAGGGGTCTTCTGCCCATCGGTGGCACGGCAGTGATCGGTCGAATCGCCGCTTTGGCTTTTATGCGGTAGTTGGTGGCTAGCAGACTATCGTCGGATCCGGGCAACTCGTCGTAGAACATTCCCACTGAGCCGAATGACATACTGCGATCGAAAGAGTCGAATGTGTAGCCTGGCGATAGCTGTGAGGCTCCTCCAAATGTAGTTCCCTTGCTCAGAACCATGGATGCCCAGGACCATGACGGGATGCGACTGGTGTGATGTCGATATGCGTCTGGGATAGATGGGGAATCTTGGTCGAGCTGGTTCGGTTGCGCCCTCTCAGGCGGCAGGGTGGTCCATAGAAGGTCAAGCGACAGCTCTTCAGGTGTGTCTACTGCGATCCCGGCGAAGTGGGATCTTCCATTGAGACGAAGGATGTGTCGAAAGAGGCCGGCGACAACTGCCAGCTTCTCTTCGGGGTCGGCCGGCGTTAGGGCTTTGTAAAGGTTGAGCACATAGTCGGGAGGCCCGACGGCCCCGCGCGAGATCCAGGTGGGTTTCTTCAGGATGTTCTGTACAACATTTTGTCCTTGTCCAAAGTACATTGGGTCATCGCACTCGCATCTGGGCCGTTCAAGGCAGTCCCACACAAGCTCTGACTTGTGCAGATAAAGCACCCTGCGAGACAGCAAAAGGCGCTGGAAAGCAGGGGCATGCTGGAAGAGTCCATGGTGTTCTTCAAAGACATTTGATTCTTCGTCATCATCCATGGGCCGCAACAAGGTCTTGTTGGCGAATGCCACGTGATACCAATGCATACTCTGCCGAGCATAAATGTAGTGTGTGCGGCCAAATTTACTGACTTGAATGGCAACGGATCTACCCGCGTTTTCGACGCCGGCTATGCTGTTCTGTCGCTCGGGGCCGAAATTGCTCAGCCTGAGATCTTTAACGCTTGTCAAGGCGATAGTGAGGTATGACCGTCCGAAGATGATATCCTCTCGAGCCAAGTGCCAGTTTACGTCTTCCTCGATGTCTTGAATGACGCAGAAATCTTGGACCCAAGCATACTGGATACCCAATTCGCTAGCGACCGTCATGGTCTCTTGCAGGGCCACAGGTATTTGCCACCACTGCAAAGACTTTTGGCGCTGGTCGAAGTTTTCCGAGGTTGTCAACGATGAAGGAGCCGGTAACGGGCCGGTGTAGCCATGGACGACGGTGATGTAGGGCCCGGAGACTGAACAAGAGTCGACCAGTTTGATACCGTTCCGCGGGCTTTTTCCAAGATCCAGAAACCGCCGAGGAGCAAGACCGGGCTCAGACGGATACATCCTCGTGCCACATGTCTTGTGTGTTGCATTGCATTCATCGACCCATCCACGGATCGTCTTCTGCCGATGCTTAGAGTGTAGTTTGAGAGGAACCTCATTAGAGACTCCGATAGACTTCCACGGCAGCGGCTTGCCTGTGAATGTGTCAATATCCATCCTGAAAGCCCCCTCAAGGTTCATCACTTTCTCACCTGGTTTCGTGAACAAGTCGACTATGCCCTTCACGAGAATGACATTGTTCGCGGAGTTCCGATATTTGACAAATGATTGGATAGAGATAGCCTCGTACAGGTGAATGACGGCGTATGAATCATCAAGCATCAGCCTCTTCTTGGGAACGTTGACATTATTGGCCCAAAAGATAGCAACTTTGATGGCGTAACATATTTGGCATCCCTTCTTACCGGCCTTAATAATGCTCCCAAGATCGCGGGAAAAATCCCTGGAGTCGACAGATCCAGGCATATGCGCCTTGTCGAGATCGCAGCAGACCGTACAAGGCGGCCGCTCCTGGGCAGCATCGGGATGGGCTTGGACCCCGGTGCCGGGCATCGTGTACTTATTCTCAACGTCGACGGACCGCCATTTAGTGGCGATGCGAGATTGGCTGGGCAGCCTTGAACGGCGGCAGTGGTCAAAAGACTTCGATATTGATTAGAAGTCCTGGATAACTTTGTTGTCGGAATAGGGCAAGCCGGCAGGTTGCTGTTTGAGGTTGTGCTTTCAGGGTGTAGATAGTTGCAGACGTGAAGGTGCAAGTCGTCCATTCAACATGCCGACGGTTGGATGCGAAGACTGTGCATCGCACTGTTCTAATGGAGTCTCGCTGACATAAGGCAAAGACCCACTGAAAAGGGGCTGAGGTGGCCCCTGCCAGGTGGTCTCTCTTTTACGCGACTCCGTCTCAACACCACCATATGTCAAATGCTGTCATGCTGCATACGTCACCGAAATAGTGTTCTTTAGCGGCGCACTCAAGAGGGAACTAGGGATAGCGGTGCGGTCAAGATGAAGTTTCCTTACAGTTGGGGGGCCGAGGTATCGTGAGAATAATAAAGTCTAATCAACTTGTCTATGGTATTTTTATGCTAGTCCGCTTTTTGTTGAATTGGAATGAATCCATTACATGCCTTCTCTATCTCTCACACTTTCGACACAGTCTTGCCATCGGATCACCTTCATGTAAATGCACTCGATAATGGCGATGACAACCATGCCGCCACCAAGGCCTATCCAGGCACCATCCAGCTCTAGGCCTGGTGATCCCAGCTCGAGCCAGACCGCGAGCGGTACTGCAGCCAGATAGTTCACGGCAAATACGACAAAAGCCGCGACCGCCTGCCGGCCGAGACCCCGCAGCACGCCGTTGCATCCGCTGATGATGGAGTCGATGAGCTGGAAAGCCGCAACCGCAAGCATGGAGTCGGACGTGAGCCTTTGGACCTCGGCGTCCTCAGAGAATACAAGGGCGAGCTGGTGGCGGAATAGGAAGATTAGAATGGCGTCCAGGATACCGACGACGGTAAAGACGATGGCGTATACGGTTGTGGCTCGCCGAGCGGTCGCTACGAGCCCGCCGCCGATCAAGTGACCGATGCGGGTGCTGATGGCAACCGAGATGGAGAAGGGGATGTGCCACATGACGACGGAGATGGTCGTCAAGATAGTTTGTGCGGCAAGATGCTCGGTGCTCAGGTAGGATGTGCTGAGCGTCAAGATTTCAAAGGCAGCCCACTCGCCCAGGTTGACAGCCGATCCGGCGATGGAGAGTCGCACCGGCACGCTCCACTCAGTGAAGGCCTTGCGAGAGAATCCACCCCAGCACTGGTGCGACCACTGGCCCCAGACGACGATGTAGATGAGCAGAAGGATGGGACGCAGGTCATTGGCCAGAGCCTGGCCCAGGGCAGCGCCTTCCAGGCCCATGTTCAGCTTGAAAGCGAACAGCCAACTGAGAAGGGCGTTGATGGGGGCGCAGATAATGAGGACGACCATGGCGCTCTTGAAATCGCCCTGGGCCTGGAGGAACCTCTTGAGGGCTTCGAAGGCGGCGTAGCCGGGCATGCCGATCAAACTGACACGGAGGAACGTGCCGGCCTTGACGGCCAAGTGGTGCTGCTTGACGAAAAGGGAGAGAACCGATGGCGAAAAGACCCAGAAGAGCCCAATGGGGACGGTAGCGAGGGCCATGAGAATGAGCATGCGTTGGACATGTAGGCCAACGGCGGTAAGGCGACCAGAGCCGTGGGCCTGGGCGCAGAGGGTATCCAGGGCGGTAGCCATGCCCTCGTAGATAGCTAGGCCGATGATGTTCATGGTCGTCAGACCAATGCTAGCGGCGGCGAGGTCATCGGCGCTGAGGTGGCCAGCCACGAATGTTGTGATGACGGTGAACGAGTATTGTAGCAGATAGGTGGCGATGAGCGGTAATGAGTATCGACAGAGGAGCCATGCTTCCGACAGCCAACCACCGCTACCCGCCGGTTCAATGTCCGGCTTGTGATGCGGCTGATCCGACAGCAGCGGCGTGGTCTCGCCGGTGCGGTCGTCTCGGTCGCGGGGGTCCATGGCGGGGGGGACGGCTCTACTTTCGGTCGCCGAACGAGGGTGTGAGATGACACGGGAAGGGTAGGGCGGAAAAAAGGTGAGGTGGCAGGTGTTGGGTTTTCAATTAAGTCTTCAAGGTAGCAGCCAGGGGCCCAGCTGAGGATTTTAGGTTCCCGTAAGGTTTGCTTTGATTAGCCCAAAGCTGAGGTGCATCAGAGGGAGTCTGTGTGTTCTTCCAGGATGGTTGTCTGCCTTTGTCTTCTTTTTCCTTTACTTTCTCCGTCTGGATTGGGTGGTGTCAAACGCGTATTGGGATCGGGCCGTTCTGCACCGCGAATGCGAGAGTTAATAAGGGATGGAAATGGCCAGGAACACAGCCCTGCCAGCTTACACAACTGTCCGTGCGACTGCAACAAGAAGAGAAAGTTTTCACGCCGGCAATGCATTCCGATTCCCGTCGACTCCGGATACTGTACGTACTCTAAGCGGATCAATCTGGTGGATACATCTCCACTACTCCGGATCCCCGAACCCACAGCACTACATAGTATGTAGGATCGCGCCACCTCGGGTTACTGGTGTGAGATCTCATTCGCCCACTCGCTCGCATCAAAGTTCCCGTGCTCGTGTACGCGAATGAATCAGAACGATTTGTCGCAGATCTTCAGCGTCTTGCAGGTCATATTTGACTCATCTGATTGGATTTGTACAGGCAGGACCAGAGAGTTGTGAGATTTTGTCTTGCCAAGCCCACTCATGGCTGATTCTATCTCCAAATCTAGTGAGATGAGTCACAAATGCTTTTTCTCTCCGAAGACTATCCGAATACACAGAGCTGTGATTCGAAACCGAGATGATTTCCCCCAAGAGCTCAATTAACATAGTTCTTGTAACTTATGCAAATAAATCAGATGATCTCAATTTACAATCGCAAGTCAGCCTCAGCAGACTTCATGGACCCCTCTTGTGAGCTCGATCTCCGCCTCTCATCAGAAGACGCCCCAAATTCTCCATCTTCAGTCAATTTCCTCACACTCTCGCTGCGACCGGAAGCTACGTTCTCTGCATAACCGTGAACCTTGCATCCGATCGACCACTCGGGTACTCTAGCCAAACCAGCCCTCGCGATCCTCGAATCTCCTGCGCCGCTCGCCAGATGAGACCCCGGTCTCGTGTTGGACCCGCTGCCGATCGGCCAAGTCGTTGGTTGAAGCCTACCGCCGTCTTTGCCTGACGAGGACAAATGGTAAGGTGCCTGAATGGCGGCCACGGAGGTGGACCCGAGGAGGCTGTCGATGACTCCCTTCAGACTTGGGATGCATGCTGTGAGGATTGACATGCCTAGTGAGACTTGTAACCATATGATGTGATGTACAGCGTTCCATGTCGTGTCAGTGTAGTCTGTTACCATGATATGTGTGTGAATCAGTCTCGGAATCGTGATTATAGGAATGCTGTGCGAAAGATTTGTCAACTGATACATCGCTGAATTGAAATATCGGAGCAACTTACATGATGCGCGTGGTGAAAAGGGCAACAACCATTGCCTTTCTCTTCAACGCAGTCTGCACTTTCCACATCATAGCGACGGGAAGCAGACATAGACAAACATCCGTAAAGATGTCCATCACGCCGTTGTAGAGGAAAATACCCTCTCGGCCTGGGCACTTCTTACTAGCAGTGGCAAGCCACGGCTGCGGTAGGGAGCATTGAAAGGCCGTCATCGTTATTCCAGAGATGCCCCAAGCAACGATGGCACCGAAGAGTACTTTGTTTGCAAGATTCAGTCGTCCGTGATTATTGATGGAGTGAATGAGGAGGCATAGCGAAATCTTCGTGCTAGCGACAATCGCAATCGCGAGTATGGAGGAAGCGTAGAAGAACTATGACTTTTGGTCAATTTCGTCTCTACTCCTGCTCTTGCTATATGACTGCATACCTTGTGAAATGCCTCGAGATCATGAGGCTCTACTATATCTTGATGATGGCCTAGTCCGTGGTTGCAAGCAATGATGATGCAGACTGTCTGTGAGAGAAGTAATCCGGTCGCGACTAATAGTATTACATCGTGGCTCTTCAAAGAGGTGATGTTGAGACGAATGATAAGCTTCAAAGATATTCCGACGATGGCGTAAACGAGGAAGATGAGCGAGGCAACAACGACTAGCGCAGCTTGATCGTCTTCCGTCAATGCGTAGAATGGGGGATCTGGTTGAATGTCGACTGCCATACTCGGCTGGTCCATTGACATGATCTTCGCTAAAAGGATTTAGTTGAGCCTCCTCCTCGTGGTTTTACTGTTTCCTTGATGGGGTTGCAGAGTGTTTGAACTTTGTAATCAATAAGCACCTTGAGCTACGAAGGGGGGAGGGGGGGCAGGACAGGCCCATGGTAATTGTGTGGGCAATTCATCATCGATCCAACAGCCCGGCGTTCTGGTCAGAATCCGGAGTAGTTTGCGAAGATCTACACAGCAGCTCCGTGCCATGTATCGAGCAAATCAACCAACACAGAATCTAAAGTAGGGTTGCTCGGCTCAAGCATGCTAGTGTGTGAACTCCGTCGTGTCTTCAATGAGTTAATCATACATGTACACTTGCTAAGTATAGGTAATACATGTGCCTGGGAGTCCCACATGACGGAGCCTTCTCTTTCGTGCGTAAGAAGGGTGACAGACTGCCTACCAAATCTTTGAGATTATTACATAGTTCGAGTCCTTCTGTCGGGTTCTCAAGAAACCCTCTCTGTGTACGCGTGGTGAAAATTCCACTGTGGTTCTGTTACGTGTTGCAAGGATGGAAGCGAAGTTTGCCTGTGGGCCAACATCTGATGTGACGAGAAGTTTCGTGGTACATATGATGTGGAGTCAAAAGACCAAATAAGATGTCGAGCAGTTAAATTGAACTCATCTTGAGTCTGGTCCTTAAGATCAACATGGCAGGCTTCGTTGGGACTGTTGGAAACATCACACTTCATGTGTCCGTATCCAGACTCTAGTGCGTACTTTTTGAAATGGCACGTAAAGTAGTAAGCTTCCGCGCGTAACCTGGCAAAGTTTGCTCTCCAACTTGATTATGCCCAATTAGTGTTCACTGGTTCATTGGCTCGGACACATGCCTCTCAGAAGACAGCAGTCCCTAAACCCCAGCCACATGCAAGCATCCAGACCATCGTTGTGAGATCGATCAATGAGTCGGATTACATTCTCTGCAGAGGAGCTCAGACATCCGGACCAGATTCACCTAGGATCGGAGTCAGAATATTTGCAGGTACCTTGGATATCGATTCCCTCACCCTGAGTCGCGCTGGGAGATCGCACGGAGAAGTGACGAATACATGGGCGCAAAGCAGCGTAACCCTGGTACCCGGGTATTCTTCAGCCCACGCCTAACGAAGTGATGACCACAACGGAATCTGACCGGCAGAGACCATATGTGATCGATCCAACTGCAAAGTTTGGAGGGTCCGGTGATGCCAAGTAGCTCCGGGAACGGTACGGGTAGAGTCCGTGTGGTCGAACCCCTCCCGGCATGCAGGAACCCCGGCTCGAACCCACCGCGGAGGCCACCTGTTGGTCGGTAATAGTTCCCATCGAGGAAGCAGTGTTTGCTTCAACATGCATATTCAGCGGAACCTAGTCCGAATTTTTGATTAAATCCTCGTTGGTACTGATTTCCAACCGCCAGCCGTAGCTGCATCAAAGGAGATGATCCGGATACTCCCTTCGCCAATCATTCCCTAGGTTCAGAGTCGCCCATCCATCTGCAAGCTTACTGCGGCTACTGGGGTCATTGTCTCACATCTCTCTCGTCTGTGGCTACACCTGCTGATATTTATGTGCATATGGTGCAGCATTTGACCAAGGCTGTGGAGGTGCTGCCCGGCTCTTTTAATCTTCCCCAACTCGACTCCTTGAAGAGACTTTTACATGTGCCGCGGATCGAAAGCATATCATTCATCCTCATTTTTACATCAAGAAAACTCAGAACGCTTTCTTGTTGTTGACTTCCCTTCTATTACTGCCTCAATTGGTCTCTCGAGCATCTCGTCATGGCTCCCGCAGAAGCAATCGAGCTGCAGCCCGCCGCCAAAAACGCCAGTCAGATTGACGCAAACGAGTCAAAACATGGATCCGAAGTCTACAACCAGACACGGACGCGGAGAGTGTTCTCCTTCTCCCAGCTCTTCGCATTTTCGTTGACCTACATGGCCTTATGGGAAGGCATGTGCACGTAAGTATACTGTCGATCCGCTCTAAAGATTCATGGCCGTGCTTGGTCTGACTCCATCCCAAGAAACATGTACTTTGCACTCTACAACGGCGGTCCTCAAACATTCATCTTCAGCTTCGTCATAGTGTTTTGCGGAGCCATCGCACAAGCCGCTTCGTTGGGCGAGATGGCCTCAATCCAACCTGTCGCCGGTGCCCAGTACCACTGGACGTTCCACCTCGCCCCCGCACGCGTCAAGCGCTTCGCTACCTGGATCCAGGGATGGTCGACGTGGTTTGGTTATGTGTCGCTCCTTGCTGGCATTGCGAACGTCACCATCATTCTCCTGGAGTCTATGATTGAGCTGAATCACCCCAACTATGTGCCGGGAGGTTGGCACACCTCGGTGCTCGTCATCGCTATGTGCGTTATTCAGGGTTTGATGAACACGTACTGCTTTAGAGTGATCCCGTGGGTTGAGCTTGTGGCTGGAGTTCTTCATGTCTGCTTGTTCGTCGTCTTTGTCGTGGTTTTGGCCGTGATGGGGACTCGACACTCGAGTAGCTTCTTCTTGGAAACCAACATTGCGTCTGGATGGACGGATAACTTCATTGCTTGGAATCTCGGCATGTTGACTTGTGTTTGGAGTTTCACCGGTATGAGCCAATCATCCAAAGATAATCCAACGTTTTGGCTAACAATCTGTCCAGGTTTCGACAGTGCCATTCACATGAGCGAGGAAACCCGAAAGGCCAAGTCTGCGGTACCTCGTGCTATGTTCTGGTCCATCTTTATGAACGGATGCCTTGGATTCATCATGGTCTGCGTCATTCTCGTCTCAATGGGCTCAATCGACGACGCCCTCAACTCGGCTAGTCCAATTCTCACCATTCTTCTCAGCATTACCGGCTCCAAGGGCGCCACGACGGCCATGATCACCGGCCTCTTCGTCGTCTCGTTTAGCGTCAACTTGGCCAACATCGCATCGGTATCCCGTCTCACTTGGGCCTGGTCCAGGGACGGAGGCATGCCTGCTTATCTGGCATACGTCCACCCAAAGCACCGCGTACCGATTCGCGCCATTATCGTCACGGTGTTCATTGTTTGTGCTCTTTGTCTTCTCAACATTGGAAGTTCGAGTTACGTTGCTTTCGGCGCTATCACTTCCCTCTCATCCATGGCTCTCTACCTCAGCTATGCGATCGCAATCAGCAGCATGTTGTACGCTCGCTTCTCATCCAAAGGAGGTGTTGAACTAGGAGAGTGGAACCTTGGTCGGTTCGGTCTTTATATCAACTCGTTTGCCTTGATCTACACCCTTTATGTCATTGTATTCCTACCTTTCCCTTCGACGATTCCTGTAACTGCAGAGAACATGAATTATTGCGGACCAGTCATGGTCTTCGTCCTGCTGGTTGCAGTAGGTCTATGGTTCATCAAAGGGAAGAGATGGACTGGGCCAAATCTTACGATTTTGGATCTGGTCATGGACAAGTCTTGATGAGAACAGGCAGCCAGCCTCAAGTTATTCCAACTACGTAATATGTACAAGGAGTTGAAATTTAGTGAGAGCCAAGTCTAGTCAGATATACCGTGCTCTTGAAATTTGGGCTTCCGCAAAGCCCGTCGACTCCTCGCAAGTAAACTCTTTGAGTCTACATGTCGCGAGGATGGATACAACCCGTGACTCCAAGTACCAGAAAGGGTGCTTGGATATTCTGCAGATGCACTCAGCCGATTTAAACAGGCTAGTCGGTCATCGAGTTCATTATTCAAGGGAACTTGATGAATACCTTGAGCTCCTGTTGATTGCTCAATCGCTCATAGTACGTAGGTACTTCCTCAATGTCGATAGATGCGCTAGCCACGAAATACCTCTGGAAATCAAGTTGACGAGCTCCCCAGCAACAGTCTCGGGATCTGCCATACCACCTTCGTATCTGATACCCTTCGAAAAGAACTGGGCGAGGGAAACGAGACTTCCGGCATGATTCTCTCTGCATTCGGAGCCAAACCAGTGTTTGGTTGGGCCAGGTAGATTCCAATCTGGCCAATTTCGCCCCCTGAAGCGACGAGTTCGACCATCTGATTCAGCACGATGTTTTGCTGCATTGTACCGTTGGCAGTGATGGCTTCCATACCGACGGCGTCGGCGGCTCGGATGACACCACCGGGCTCGTATGCGAGAATCTGCTGTACAGGATCACTGTCCATGAAGTTGATGGGCACGGCTCCGATGGATGCGGCCTTCTCATGTCTCATGGGGACATGGTCTGCACTGTACACCCGAGATGCCCCGCGAAGTATGGCGGAGTACGCAGCAAGCAGGCCCACGCGACCAGCGCCAAATACAGCAACAGTGTCGCCGGGCTCAAAGCCGGATCTAGTGACAGCAATCCATCCGATGGAGAAGACATCGGAAACGGTCAGGGAGTCTTGTTCGATGCTGGTGTTGGTGGTCTCGGCGGTCAAGGGGACGGGGATAAGAGCCATGTCGGCGAAAGGTACTCGGGCGTAAGGAGCTGGTCAAGCATCATTAGTAACGAAGAATCAAAACTTTTGAGGAGAATCTGAGTTAAAACCTTGGAGACCTCCGTTTAGACCTCCGAAGGCTAGGCCCATGCGAGGTCCAGTCACAACTCCCATATCGATGTGTCCAGTAGCGCCATTATCTGGAATGATGACATATTGCCCCACCTCTAAATATGATGCACCACTACCAATGAACTCAATATATCCCACTGTATAACTGTTAGCTTTCATGTGGCTGAGTAGGACATACTCTTGCTCGAGAAGTAGGTTCATACTAGCTTCGTGGCGCAGCGCACACGGTGGCTCCCCTCCTATAAACCCATGATAACGCTGCAGGTCTGAACCACAAAGCGCCGAAGTTGTGAACCGAACTACTGCGCCAGTCGTATTGATGATGCGTGGCACTGGGAACTGATCAATATGAACTTGATACGGCCCCGTCATGACGGCAGCGCGCATGGTGCTGTTGAGAAAGCTAAGCGACATAGTGTCCAAGTTTAGACGTTTTCTCGAGGTCAAGGAACTGACAATGGTGATTGAACTGCATTTTCAGCCCTCAAGCCAGGCAGTATTTGGATTAAATAACGAACAAACCTCGGTCTATTCGGCTCTTGTCCTCGGAGGTTCGGAACTCAACTTGAGGCTCATGATCTGCAGAGCATAGCAACGTCTGTATGGGCATGACGCGGCAGCAGTAGCTGTTCTTGTTGACGAATGATACACGCCCAAAGTTGTGATTCTATCGTTTGTCCACTGATAGTGATGGTGCCATCGAGGTTGAGAACGGACCGAGGCCGTACCCACCTCCGAATTTAAGCATATGCCAACCCAAGCTTAGTCCAACATATCAGCGCGGTAGTTCGCTCGGTATTGCATTTGGCAACGGCCCACTTGTCCTAATACAAGGTGAATCGAGCATAGAATGGCCTCCCAATTGGACGACCGCATAGATCCTTGCAGCCGTCTTTCATAACCGCTGTAGGTAAACAGGAAAGATTCTTGCCAGAACAACTCCTTGTGGAAACTTGAAGGTATTGAGATAAAATTCCGCTACCCCTACATCGGGTTGCCCGAATCTCTCTCGTCTCTCGGACAGCATACGCGGTTATGAAATCATTGTCGGATTGGAAGTCCAATTCGACCTCGGCGTACGGCCGACCGGGCAGGGGCCAATTACGGCCCCTACTTCCGATTATCGCGGCCTGCCCAACCTACGGTTGGAACCTCCTTTTTACACCTACGCAGAAATTCATATAGTTCAATTGATCTCTTCGTCAACCCACGGTTCGAACCAATTACCCTGTAATAGAGATACCAACAATCATCGTGGCTGTGCTAGACTGCTGTCTTCATCGCCAAGATCGAACAAGCCTACAAGCCCACCGACAATGGGCAGATTATCCCAATACTCTCAGCTCCTTCTCTGTAACTGAACCCCCCATATTCCTATTTATGCTTCGGCGACTAGCTCGATTCGATACGACGTATCTGTTCGCAGGTAACGGGGAACCTTGATGAAATAAGGTATTCCTTCTGTTGCTTCATTATCGTCGCCACTGCTGCGCGTCCCAGTCATGCAACATCCCTATGCTACTACGCCGAGTCTCCACTGTTATGGCATGTCCCGATGTGAACGAATGTTCAATGCCTACAGCCAGAAGAGGCAGCACGAGCTGGCATGTACAGCGCAAGACCCCATTCATTACTTGCAAAGTCCAGCCGGCCTTCTCGGCTCCGACTTCAGTATGGGCCCGAAGTCACCCGCCAGCCCCACTCTCGGCTCCGGGTCTCGATTGATGATGACCTTGAAGTTTATGTTCAGTCGCAAAGAGAGGCGCAGAGTGAACTACCTGTGAGCTTGAAATTCTGAGTGACTGTATTGGAGAAATCGGACAAATGCGACCGAAAAGATACGGAAATTCCCAAATGGTTTTGGACTGGGGTAGGTTTCTCGCAGCCTGCAAACAAAATAACGACCTTTAGAAGCTAGTGAACACAACTGCCGAGTCTGTTCACGCTCTCTTGGATATTTCAAACATGATTGCCTTCTCTGTGTCAGAGCCGCTGTTATTGGAAGATGACCTTGTCAAGTGTTGCAATCTTCTTCGCTTATGATCCCAGAAGAGCCAACCAAGAAGGACTGCCGTGGTCAACGGGACCATAAACGCGAAGTAAATCCAAATCTTGGACGAAACATGAGCTTCTATCATATGAAAGTCTCAGTCTTGAACAATACGGAAACAATTAAAAGGGCGCTGATACTAACGAGTCTGGAAGTCGAAAAATGACATGCTGAAAATGGAGGCGATGAATGTGCCAGGCAGAAAAGCAGCACCGAGAAGAGAAAGGGCCTTCATTGCCTGACTATCGCTCTTGCTAGCATGAGCTATCTTTCTCTGATCTCCTGCTATCTTGAGGTTCAATTTCGCATCCTTCTGTGCAATTTCGGCCGTAATGAAAGAAACCTAAGTTACTTCTCGTTAGTAAACGTTTCGCGACCCTTACTAGCTAAAAGTACATAATGAGTAGGTATATCTCTGACCATGCTTCTTTGGATATTCAAGCGTTCCACGGATATGGAAACGTATTTCTCCAACCCGACGAGTCGTACTCTGTGGCAATGAAAACGGTCCTTCAAAGTCGCATGGAGCCGATCCAACGCTTTGGTCTTATCAGTAGGGTCAATATGTGCCCAGAAGCAATCTGTGGCAGCTTCCAAAGCATCGATGACCTTGGAGTAAAGTTTGGGTGGTCTATGAAGAATTCTTCTGTGGTGTTCTGTGAGATCACTTGCGACTGTGCGTAAGTCGATGGTGCCGTCCTTTGAGTAGTAAAAGCCTGTTGTATCGTCATTGACACTGATTGCTTTTTCTAGTTGTCGAATGCTAGTTCGGGCTTCTCGTTGTTTCACTTCGTCAGATGTCGCTACGAGATCAGACATGATGATGCTGGGGATGAGAAGTGGATGGCATATGTCAAGAACACAATCTCGCAAATTTGACAAGCACTCAACGATATCGGCGGTAGGTGTCCATTTGACGAAGCCTGTGGTCTCGCGTCGCTTGAAAGAATATGATAGAATCAGTTCCCAGCCGCGGGTTCCGGTCTTCTTACGGCTATCATGCTTTCCAAAGACCATCTCTAAATACGAAGTGAGTCCAGAGCTTTGAGGCTATGAGTATCAGGTGGTGAAAGCTTACGAAGGTGAGGATCATCGTCTTCAAGAAGAACATATCTGTACCAGAAGAGAGGCCCAAGAAAGGTGGTCAATTCGACGGCGTGCAGTGGGAGCCGTAGGCATTTGAGCATTTGCTGATAATGTGCTGGTGGCAGTGGAATCTTCAGCGGTGTGAATGTTTCCAAATCCTTGGCATCTTTCTGAATGCTATCTCGAAATGTCAGTCACTGTGGCATTCACCATTCGAAGTCTGTCCTGACATTAAACGAAGCTTGCTCGAAAGTTTGCTTTCTTCTTCTACGACCGGTGGATGGAACTCGCCCTTCGATAGTCTTAGTGCTAAGGAATCTTTTTGTAGCAAAATGATGGCTGGTAAGTGTAGTCAGAGAATTAAAGGGGGTTAAAAGTCTCACCTGCTCGTATATAAAGTCATTGAAGTTGTCAAGAGTCAAATCTCCTTCTTTTAACGCGTTCAAAGATGGATCCTAAGTCAAGCCAGAACGGTCAGGATATTGTTGCAAGAAAGCGAATCAATGGGTACAATGACTTGCTGTGTAGTTGTAGAGCGTGAGATAAGTCGTTGCTTCAGTGACATGGCGACATTTCGCCAAGTGCTTTTTGAACATGCACTCCTCCATTGCTCTATCAAATGTTCAAGGCTTAGCAAGAAGCTCATGGCCATCAAACGGATTGGGGATACCCAGATCTTGGACTTTAAGAAGAAGAAATCCAATGATGATGGCGAGCGGCATGGCGGATCGGGCTCACTGCATAACAGGGGTAAACCAAAACCAGGCTGACAAAAGTGCACTTTCACTCCGGATGGACCTTATTGCATGCAATATTGCTGCTTGATCCATGATTATGCAGCATGTTGCTAGCCGAAATATTGCAACGCGCATGCTCATTTTATTGATTCGACGAATCGCTATGCACAATTGAGAGTTGGTGTGCCTCGACCAACATAATGAGGCTGTCCGATCCTACGGGACTTATATCAAGCAAGGCTTTTGGTAGCGATCTTTGCTAACCTGAGACGTGGGAAAATGTCAAGTTTTGAGGTATCATATCGATTGTCACGTTCAATCCGCGGGGGTATTCCACTTTTTGCGCGTTGATTCCAGGTGGCCTTGAATCAATGGTTACTGAAGCCGGTAGAGCCTGGTTCGTTCAAGGTTTTCGAAGGCATCAGCGTGGATGGTCGAGCTAGCTATTGAACCGACATTCGATTATGACTTTTCAAATCTTTCGGTTGGGAATTGCAGTCAAACCGAAAGAAATGATAGCATTCTAGTCGTTTGTTCACCTGAAGATTTCCTGGATTCCTCATCCAGGCGGCCTGGAAACTAAAGAGTCAGTATTTAGCCTGTAGAGGATGAGCTGAACGAAGTGCGCCGATCTTGAGTTCTTTCCAACGGGATCGGAATAATAAAATTGAGCTGCCAAGTGCCTGTTATCAATACGGGATTGACATGTAATTTTACTAAGAGGAGAGCCGGGACGCTGAAGTAAAGGCTTGGTTGATATCCTGAATGTCCGCACGTCGCACTTAGACCTTATTTAATAGACAAAAGGTTTTTACTCAAGATGAGTTTGACTATCACAGGAGACGAGGCGGCATAAATGCCCTTCCAATCTTTAGATCGGTTCGAATACATCCTGAATGAGTAGCTAGCAGGTTCTCTGGAGATGATCTAAAGTCGGCACTTCTGGCTTTCTGTAGGGGTCAGCTCCGTGGATCCCGCCGGACAATTATTACCAGAGCCGTGGCACGGGATGTGGGCAGTACACAGGATGAACTCTAACAAATTAGGGAAAACATTGAGCCCGGACTCGTCCACCAGCGGCACTTAGATTGAAACAAGCATTGCCTAGCCGCGGGACGAATTTCTCCCCCATCAAAAATGGAGATCCCGACCCGACTTTTACTGAATACGGCTTGGCCGACTTTTCGGGATTACGCGTGCGCCTGTCAGAACATAGGCGTAGTCGCTCATAGGACGGTAGGACCGGCCCCTTGAATTTCGTCAGCTCTGGTATTGAGCCACACTCTGAAACTATTCTTGGCATTTGCAGAGAACGCGAGGCCTTCTTTACCGCTCCAAACGTCAACCCTTTGTCCATAACTCCATGTTGTTTCTCCACCGCCACTGGCTGCTGTTCTCCATACTCCATAGCGGTATTTGCTAACCCCTGGGCATACGTCCCCCATGACAAAAAGCTTGGTATACTTTATCGAGCCGCGCAACGGCCCCCTGATATGGGGCTTAGCATCTTCGTGATGTGGACAGTCTCCCGCCGGCGGGATAGAGGCCTTCGGGAGTCGTCATCTTAGCTGTAAAGGCGTTTCTACAAATTGACGTTTAAATATGCCAAGTACCAGTCTCGTCTGTAGTTGCCTTTCCATGCCTGTTCATCCCATCTGCAGATCTGCCAAAGCCCAACAACATGCGCTCGTTCCAATTACTTTCGTTCGCGGCAGCCGCTGCTCCGGCTCTAGCCGACAGTCATTACTTCTTCTCGGGCTTCTTTTCTGGCAGCACTATTGTCGGTGTCGAATTCGATGACCAGACAGAGTCGCTCACTTTGAAGAACAATATCAGCACAGACGCGAGCTCGGGCTCCAAGTGGATTCACATCGATGTAAGAATGCCTGAGAATGCGACAACCAGGCCGGATGCTGACGATTTGACGATAGTCCCGCCTGAAGAACCTGTATGTCGGTACGACTGGCTACTTTCAGAGCTATGCCATCACAGACGACCTCAGCTTGACATACAGCAGCAACGTCAGCTTGTCTTCAGACTGTGAGCACCCCCGAAGTGGAATGTCTTGAGATTAGCATGTTGCTTACAGTGAATAGGTAGCAACGCCAACTACATCACGTCTTCCTCTGCCTCTCCCTACACTGTTTTCGGGACTCCCTATGGAGGTGGCTGCTCAAGCCTGGCCATCACCGTCGATGACGCTGGTGTGCTTCAGGAGGCCACTGCGAATGTCACATATGACAGCGCCGGAGGTGTCCACGGAACATGGATGAGCCCTAACAACGATTTCATCTACTCCGCCGATGACATGGGCAACGCCGTCTGGGCACACTCCTATGACAACACTACTGGAGAGGTTACAGAAGTTCAGTACCTTGCCGCAGCCGAGGGATCCAACCCCAGACACTTGACTGTGCACCCCAATGGCAACTGGGTCTATGTCGTCTATGAGGAGGCCAATTCCATCGCGTCTTACAAGCGCGACACGACTACCGGCAAGCTGACTTTCACCAACACCACCTACTCTCTCCTGCCCTCAGGTATGTGCTAACGAAAAAGTATTGCTGGAGCCAATAAGTAACATTTCTTCAGGATACACCAACACGTCGTCCTACTGGGCCGACGAAGTCATGTTCTCCATTCCCAGCAGCAACGCCAGCGCTACTGCACCCAAGTACCTCATTGCTGCCACCCGCTCCCGCACCGTTGGAGTTCCGGGCTACGTTTCCGCTTTTTCTCTCGACAGCACCACTGGTGCCATTACCGAGCAGCTGTTCCTCACTCCCACCACGAACAGCGGTGGCTCCGCCAATGCCGTCTCCCCCGCCAAGTTCAGCGAGGACTACTTTGCCATTACGGACAGCGGCTCTAACTTCCTAGAAGTATGGAAGATCGACGCTACTGGCTCATCCACGACTGCGGCAGCTGTCGCGCACCTGGCATTGGCATCGGGACCGGCCAATGTTGTTTGGTACAGCTAAGCTAGATGGTGGTGTTTGTGACAAGCATGCAATTCATGTTGCAAATTTTGTTTCTGCATATGTAACAGCGTGTATTTGGATCGAAAAGGACAGCACTTAGAGCCTTGTAACCCAGATCAATCTAGGTACGCTGTGGAAAGTTTTAAGTCTTCATGTGATCCTTCCAATTTGTTGCATCTGTTGTCTGCTCTAAATTCAGCACGATGTAAGGTAGGTATCGCCCCACCGTCACTTCTACCTTACACTACTCATGCCTCTCATGGCAGGCACTGAGAAGATCTCTGAACGCTCTGGCGTCGCCCTGCTTTGTTTCTTCGGAACGGTTTATAGAACACTCGTAATCTCCAAAGTACATCTCACCAGTCTCACTATCTGAAGTCAACCATGGACTAGGACCGGTTCCTGCGTCGAAGTTGATGTATCGACTCGGGTGCAGCACGGTGCCGATCCTCGTAGGATGGAGAAAGTGAAGTCTGTAAGACTGCCTATCAAAGCGAAAGTCCTTGAGGTGGGGAAGGTTGTTCCGGATCTTATCGAAAGTAGACTCCCACGTGCCATCGAACCTGTAGAGTTCGGCATTGTCATAAAATATGCCGTACGAGCCTTTGGACAGACGCTGCCAATCTTCCCTGTGAAGATCCCACTCCTTGGTTTCCTCGGTGTCAACCTGAATGTGAGAAACAATATGACAGCTGTCCAGACGCAAAGTTTCAAGCGATTTCTGTGAGAGAACCCAGTCAAAATGACGGTTGTTGCTGATGACAAAGTTTCCCAGATTCAGCGTCTTTAGGCGAGGGAACACTAGGCCTGCCCCGTCGAAGTATCCCGGCATGGTGCCCCAACACTCGTGGAAGTTCAAGGTCAGAGCGGTGAGATTGGCCGCGAAGCAAGGAAGAAACTGTCGCTGCAGATGGCTCTCAAACTCCAGGCGCTCTTCCATGAATATGTCGCGGTCTGGGCCGTGTTCATTATACTCATCTGTAATCAACAGGTGAAGACGATCGATGTCCTTGGCGACGTCTTTGAAAAGACCAGAGTTGACGAATTCTTGATGCGGGATGTTTTGGAGGTTACGAATCGTCAAGGACTGAATTGTGCTGACTTCGGTATTAGGCTGAACTGCACGTTCCCGAATGGCCTCGAAAACTGCCTTGAGTGTGTCTAGTCGGGTCTCGCTAGGCTCAACGTCGTTCCACGGGTTGTGAAGATTGGACCACCGGCCTTTGCATTTCTCGCTGAAGTGCAGTTCGATAGCTCTGATGTTTGGCAACTGTTTGATCCGTTTAATGGCTGATGTGAAAGCATCATACTCTCCATTCTTCCAGTTTTCCCAGTCCCCAAATTGCCTTGATTTCTCGGAGCAGCTCTGGATGATGACGCGTTCAGCAGCATTCCTGGCGGCTTCGATATCGAGAGTCTTGTTCCAGCCTTCAAACCCAGTCTCGTCGCCGTTGACGGTTCCGGTGTGTGCTAGCTCCAGGGGTTGATACAGGTGTTCAGTCGCAATAGAATTCCATCGTCGGCAAACGAGGCGAGCGGGGAGAAGGTGCTTGCGAACTTCACGAATATTCGCGGGGTCCCTGGGACTTTTCAGTCGGAATAGTTGCCCGATGATCATATTGAGGATCTCATTGGGTATTTCCTTGAGTTGCGTAGGTATCGCGAAAGTCAAGATTCGTCGAGGTCGGAAGAGTGTCTAGAGAATTGGTTCTTTGGATGGAAGTAGGACTCCGTACGCTGGTTTTGCCTCTAATCCTCATCTGGCTTGACAAGGGTGCAAAGCAGGGACGCGCTAGGCAGCGGTCCGGCAGCCTAGAGGTGTGGACCGTACAGGACATGGAACAGCCATAAGCACTGGCCATCTGTTCCAATCTTGGTGGCGCAAAACCCAGTAAAGGTTTAGGAAAAGCCGGAATTATGAGTTTTAGACTTGTGAATGAGTATAGAGGAAATATATGATGAACTGATGGGAACTTGTGAGAATCTTTGCCGGAGATGGCTTAATTTATATTAATTAAAGGGCGGAGAAAGTGATATTTAAAGTTATTCACTCCAAATAGACTACGTCTTATAGAAGGCAGGATCGTGATATCGTTTTCTAAAATACCAGATATCTCCTCTCTATTAGCTTTGAAAAGTACTCGAAAATAGATTAGAGATAAAGAATGAATAGGGTATTGCGAGTCCCTATTTGCAAAAGGTGCACGAGACTGGATTGCTAGCTCTGAACAAAATGCTGATCTAAAGCGAAACCGCGCAATACGCATGTTCACGTTTCCGAAACCGACAATCGAATTCGGGGCTATGCCTATCCTCTCAAATTGCTAATCATGAATGAGAGGGCATCAACTTGACCACTACACCATATCGGACTAAGTAATGCTCATAGTGGGACAGAGTGCTATGTGGATCATGCCCAAATGTGGATAGGAGGGGGCCACGGAGATGTTGGGCACTAAACCGGTCGGCTTAATTGTATTGGTTTCAATTAAAGAGTTGCGAAATATTGGATTGCGCTGGTTATTTGTCTATCATTTAGGTAACAGTGAGGAGACCTCTAGAGTATGCCTATGACTCTGAAGCTTTTGACAGGTGGGCAATGTTTAGGATATCTGCTTACTCGTTTGGCAATCATGCTCAAGAGTTCGAGATTGTAACCCGTTACATTGAATGTCTTCCTCCAGAGCTTAGCAGTCGTATTTAATATAGAAAAAGGTTGACAAGATGAGTAGATTAGGAGTGTTTGGATTGGTAGCGGATCCAGTGACTGGTTGACTAGGCCGCTACGGTGATTCGGCCCCGTGAGCTGCTTGACGGAAACTCCAGACTCCCAGAATATCTGATCGAGTCGGCGCATTCCTCAAGATTGCTGTTTTTCTACTATACGCATCCCTGCAATTATGGATGTAAGTCTTACGATACTTGATAACCTTCAGACTTTGAATCTTGGGCGACACAACCGGCCGGATGATGACTTATCGGAGCCGACCTACTGATTCATGAATGAACTCTGACAGTGACATGGGGGTCACCTATCGGAGCAACCTCCAAGGCGAAAGCTTATCAGAGACGAGAGGCCTTTGTGAACATGTTTTCGGCGGTCTCGGTGAACCCCTCGGCTCCTGTGGTCACCGCCGCCACCGAAACTCTACCGAACAGAGTTTCTTCGGGTTCTTAAATCGCCAGTTACCAGTTTTGTCGAGCACATCTCACTCTATTGGTAAAGACATAGATCACTATTTCTGTCCGACTCCTTTCCGGCAAGTGTTGCGAGAGTGAGGAATTGAACTTCGTTTTCGCGGGTGGATGAACTTGCTAGAAACAACAGCGCTGCGATGCCCAATCGGACCCGAATATGCTCCATATACTACTGGAGTGCCGTTGCTTTCCAATCATTCGACCTGATGATGATGCTCATCCGAGTTCTTCAGTTCGCCCCTCTGCATCCCCGGAAGTCTCCTCTCAAGTGATCACACGAATTCTGCGTTGCCGATACTGACTGACACCATTTGGGAGATTTGTGAACAAGCCATGATGACCTATTCCATCCTGGAATTGACTCTTGCCACTCCCTCGGTCGCTGATGTGCATCCGTCAACTGACCTGCATTCAGGTGCCAGATTGTACGTGGAACTCTGGGGTGAACGTGCACTTACAAGCAGATCAATCACTCACCGCATGCTTGGCATTTTAGCATTTGAACAGCTCAACCTTTTCAAGCAACGATTCTAAACATCATCTTACATACAATATTCATAATCGCCAATATAATTATTGCCTCACTCATTCATCAGGCCAAAGTACATATGGTCATCGGGACCAACTATAGCTAAACCTTATGCAGACGACCTGCCATTTAGTCGTTATCGATCTCTGTCTTGCGTATTCTTGTCGCTGCACATGTGTAACGTGGCTTATGGTGGCCGTACTCTCGAGGCTCATAAAGCATCGTTGCTACAGATTCGTCGATTGCCCTCAACTTCCAGTAGTTAAGTGGTGGTGGTGGTGGTCTGAGTGTCACCCCATAGAGCTGACGGCTAAGACTGCTCGCAATGAGCTAGTTACCTTGTTAGGAATCCACGTCGTAGCACAATGGTGGGAAGCTTCCATGGCACGTGGGGAACCGCTTCTAGTTACCAACTTTCCATCACCACAGCGAATGCCGTTTGCGGTAACTCCCAGACCCGACAAATTGCGTTCCTTCGGGAGTCTGCATAAGGAGTTCGAGCCCTCAAACCCGAATGACTACAGCGTGCCTCTTTGGGCATCACCATCTGTGATAAATTGACTTTCGCGACGTCACGTATAAACTGTCGGTTCTTCCCACGCCGGTTTGGCACTTTGGCGTTCGTGCAGCCATTCTTCTGGAAGAACCATAGCCACAATGCCTTTCGTAACTTCATCTGACACGGCTCATCTCAAGAGGGAGACGATCTCTCCACGCAAAGCCTATGGTTTCCTACTGTTCACGGGCATACTTTCCGTTTACCTCTTGTACAGACTCTATCGGAAAGCCCTGCCGAAGCCTATCCCCGGCATCCCGTATAACCCAAAAGCCCTCGGCCGAATCCTCGGTGACCTACCAGAGCTCGCCAGCGAGGTTTTGAAGACGGGCGACCTGGCTACTTGGTTGCAACGTCAGGCGGACCAGCACGACTCGCCAGTATGCCAGATCTTCCTTCGTCCCATGTCGCCACCCGTGGTGATACTGAGTGACTTCCGCGAGATGCAGGATCTCTGCATGCGGCGGAAGGAATTCGATCGCGGACGAATCATCAAGAACATTTTCAAAGGTCCTACGCCGAACCACCAAATTACTCTGGAACTCGGGGACGAGTGGAAAGCGCATCGACGACTATTGCAGGATCTCATGTCGCCCCCCTTTCTACAAGACGTCGCGGCACCAGCCATCTACTCGAACGTGACGAATCTGATCGATCTTTGGCGACACAAGACGCGCATAGCTGACGGTAGACCATTTGACGTGTCCGAAGATATCTTCTACGCAGCTTTGGATGCCGTTACAGCCTTTTCGTTTGGTGGCGACTTCCCACACAACGCTACAAAACCTGTAGCAGATCTTATTCAAGGTCTCGATGGCAAAAGATTGAACGAACTGCGGGCGTCCGGAACCATTGACGATCCGATTGAGTTTCCTACTGTGGAATGCGACGAGGTCCTATCGACCATCCTTGATGTCACTATCGCCATTGAACGTTTACATGGCTCACCCTGGCCCGTCCTCAAGTGGAAGATCATAGAAAAGCTCCCACCGGTCAGCCGAACCATGAGGCTCAAGAACGAGTTCATTGTTGGAGAACTCAATAAGGCGACGTCTAGGCAGCTGGCAAACAGCAACAACGACACATGGATGCGGTCGGCAGTGGACCTGATGGTGCAAAGAGAAAGAAAGATAGCTCAAGATGACGGGAGGGTGCCCGACTTCCTTTCGCCTACAATGAGAGACGAGGTAGATATACACATTTAGGGATCTCTACAAATAGCGCTAATCTTGATAACTAGTTATTCGGAATCCTTACTGGAGGCCACGATACAACCAGCACGACCATACTATGGGGCCTCAAGTTGCTAGCAGACCACCCGACGGCTCAGTCGAAACTTCGCACCTGCATGGAGTCACGATACCAAGAAGCATCAAGAGAAGCAAGGACACCTTCAGTAGAGGAAATCATGCAAATCAAAGTTTCCTACCTTGACGCCACGATGGAGGAGATTCTTCGTTGCGCCGGCACTGCGCCCCTGGTTGAGCGAGAAGCTCTTTGCGATACCGTTCTGCTGGGTCATCCCATCCCAAAAGGCACTCAGATCTTTTGTCTCACACAGGGCGCAAGTCTCCGTAAGCCAGCGTATGCTATCGATGAGATGAGGCGAAACGAAACGTGTCGAATCGCGGTGAAGAACAAAGGGAGGGTATCAGAATGGGATCCCGCGGACATCGCTAACTTCAAGCCTGAGCGGTGGCTCACTTCCGGAAGCCCGCCAAACAATGATCAAAACACGAACAAGGAACAATTCGGCGGCGCATTAACAGACAATGGTAGTCAATTGGAGTTTGACTCCACAGCTGGACCTCAAATTGCCTTTGGCCAAGGCAGACGAAGTTGCTTTGGTAGAAGGCTTGCGTACGTGGAGCTGCGAATCTTCGTCAGTTTGATTGTGTGGAACTTTGAAATACTCATGTGTCCAGAGGCCATATCTGGATACGAAGGGAGGGATGTTGTCACGCACAAACCGATCAAGAACTATGTTCGATTGCGAAATGTTGAGAGATAGTGGGCTTACTGATTGCCAAATCCAGATTTCGAGATATGAGATGCGGGCGGTTACATTGCGGCCGGCCAAGTATTTTGCGGTTTTCTAAAAGAGGAACATTCATCCTTTCTACGTGTATTGTTATGGCTTTTTGAAGCCTACAAATTCAATTGAGAGATACGAAGAATTCCAGCTATCGCATCCGAGGTTGTCAAACTTGAGACAAACTCTCGATCCTCAACCTGCTCTGTGAAACCAACACCACATGTATGCAAAAGTTCTGCCAAAGTGTTAGTAAACGGCATCCCGAGCATCGCATGGGCGAGTCGCCAAGAGATCTCATGTGAAATGGTAATATCGCCATAATCTCTACATCCTTGAACCGTTTGTTCTGTAGTTTTTGGCTTAAAACCTGAGACTACGTCGCTCGTTATAGTCCTCCGAGTAAACTCAAGGACTTTCAGTTTCATGGACCATGTGTCTTCAGTGGCCGTAGCTGTTTCGATAGTGTCGTCGTGAGGATCTCCTGGTTCTTGCCTACAAGGCCAAGCCTCCATATCCGAGAACCTGGCCGATATAGAAGCCTTTTCTTCACAGCTCGGGGGAGTAGTGTACTCCTCGATCAAGTTTTGAAGAAACGTTGTGTGTAAGACTCCTTCTGAGCTGAAACAAGCTCGGTCTGTCGGACTCAGATCCTTAAAAGGGACGAGGCAAAGGTACTGGTGTCCATCGCACTCCAAGATGTGCGGCTCCATCCGCGGGTTGAACGACACAAAGATGCTGCGGATCTTGCGTCGCATATACGCAGTGTAGTCCATGTTCTGCACCGGTTGTTCTTCACCTTTTCCAGTGTGAATCCAGTCATATCTCCTTGTTTTGTCAAGAAAGCACAGCAGTTCCCAAGCCGATGTTTTCTGTAGTGAGCCCTTGTTGCTCATGGCGGACGATTCCCAGTCGGCGTACTCTGCCAGTCTGACATCGATCCACCGTTCGGCAAGTGGCCCAAGGAGTCCGAGGCATTCTGGAAGAAGTTCAATATGCCGGGTGAGGAACATTTCCATGACCCCAAAGACTGGCTCAACTTTGGCGTCCAACGTCTTCAACGAGAAGAAAAATTCCGGTATTGTGTGTGGAGTGGAGGCGCAGTACCCTGAGTAACAACTTGGGCACAAGTCAACGTCGGCGCAAATTGTGCATTGATAGGATAGTGTGGGAACGCGATGACTACAAATGTCGCAGAGAAACTCAGCATCCCCGCTTTCGTGTCTTAAAGCCATTCTACAGATCCGTGCTTGTTCGATGCTGCTTGAAGAGTGTAGTAGTTGTAGACCTGCTGCAAGAGCTGACAACTCGAGGCAGACTTGTGATTGATTCTCCTTTCCTGAAATTTGAAGCGACTTGACAGCACCAGCAAAGTCTACGATGGACTTTCTTATAGCATTTGACACGGAGCTTGCGTCTAATGGTGCTTGACCGGAAGCATGCTCTCTAAATGCCTCTAAAAGTGCTCTGTTCTGCGTTGCGTAATCCAAAGCCCGTAGGCCGAAGCAGTCTTTTAGCGTTGGGTCCGCACCGCTCATGAGAAGTTCTTTGGCGGTCTGTACGTTTCGGTGTATGGAGGCAACAAGAAGGGCATCTTGCTGCATCCGCAAGGCCAAGAATCCGGATTGAGGACGCAAACCCATGCCCAGAAGCTTCGCTGCTGCAATGAAACCCGGGAACCCGCGGCGAGCAGCCTCCGTCAACGGGTCAAAATTTCTCAAAGATGTTCCTGTAAGAAAGAAATTATACCTGCGTAGAGGTTCGAGCAGACTCCCCAAGCCATTGATGGCCGCACAGTACACATTGTCATAAAGTTGTCCGTTGGCAGAATGGCTGGAATCTAAATCATAGAAAGATTGCCAATCAAGAGTCTGTAGGGCAATCCCGAGTTGACTTGAGGGCTTCGTCACCATCGAAGAGGTGTCCGAAGAGATATCCAAAGATCTTGTTGTCAGGCTATCGCTTGTCAACACTGATTCGAGAGCTCTTGATGAGCTCAATGGATCTGTAGGTGTGGCCGATTTTTTACATTTGGGATTTCCATACTCGAGTTCAAGTAGTCGCTGGAGCAAAGTCTGATCGCCTGCCAAAACTGCTGCTTGAACAAGTGTAATCCCTCGCTTGCTTACAATGTTGGTGTGAGCACCATGGTCCAGGAGATGTTCGACTATGCTCACGTGCTTTTCTAGCAACGCAACTAGAATTGGGGGCTCTCCAAAACGATCGTCTACTTTGTTCGCATCGGCACCCATGCGCACAAGGTATTCGACCACATTCTGATGCCCAAAGATACAGGCGATCCATAGAGCTGAGGATCCATTTAGATCACGATGCTCTATAGACTTTGGCGTGATGAGTCGCTCCAAACAATGCGAATGGCCATGCAAAGCTGCTAAATGTAGTGGAAGTCTTCCTCTCTTGTCCTTGAGATGTAAAGAAGAGGGGTCAGCTTTGACAATCAATTCGATGGAATCCTTCGACCCATGTGTAGCAGCAATATGCAACGGTGTCAAGCCATCGCTGTCTTGCGCATTGATATTCGTGTCAGGAAACAACCTGAGCAACTCGGATATAAAACACCCCTGGTTGTTCAAGGCTGCACTGTGCAACGGTGTGCTACCATTGGCATCTTTCATATGCACACCAGAAACTGTTGCAATTGAAGACAGAAGCTCGGTTCGACCATGAAAAGCGACATAATACCATGCTGTTCTTCCCTGGTGCCCTGGTTGGTTCAGGTCCATATTGTGTGTGGTGAGGAGTAATTCTGCAACATCTGAGCACCCCGTTTCGATAGCAATATGCAACGGCGTGTCTTGCATTGAATTGCAAAGATCGGTACGGGCGCCTTGGTCGATTAAAAGCTTTGCAGCTGCTGACTGGCTTTTGCGTAGTGCGCAGTACAGCGGCGTGTTCCCATCGATGTCAATACAGTCAATCAGAGTTTGGCCAGCAGTAGAAGTGAGAATCAACTCCATAACCTCTAGTGAGCCAAACATGGAAGCAACGTGAAGGCAGCTCGACTCGTCTTGCAAGTTGCGCGCATGTATGTCAACGCCATGCTTGAGCAAGGTATCAAAAGCTCGAGCGTTGTTGCAGTAACATGCCACCAATAGTGGAGTGTCACCACACTCTGTTCCTTGGTCCATGCTCGCTCCTCGACTGATCAGAACACTCATAATCTCTTCTAGATTTCCTTCTGCGGCATAATGTAGTGGAGTCTGACCGTGAAACCCTCTCTCTGTAGAGCATTGCGCATTCACATTTGCGCCAGCATCGAGAAGGGCTTTGACCAGTTCGACTTGATCATTTTGCACCGCAAAATGGAGCGCGGTCTCATTGTTTCTTCCTTGGTGATTGACGTCCACTTTGTGCTGTAGCAAAGAGGCCGCAAGTTCGGGGTTCATATGCATGGCTGCCATTATGAGAGGTGTTTTGCCATCAACGTCAGCTACGTCAGGCAGAGCACCAAGTTTCAAAAGACAGTCTAGGGCTCGGCTCGAGCCAGCTACGGCTGCTGCGTGTAAGGGGGTCTCTCCAGATATGTTTGAGGAGTCTTTATCGAATCCCATTGCGACTAGATCGATGATCACGTCTTCCCAATCCTCTTCCGAAGCGCTGTGTAGCATCCAAGCACCGCACGATTCGAGAAATGGCTGACTGAAAGTGTAGCTGCCAATGGCCTCCAATGCTTCGCGGTGTTTTCTCAACAACCATTTCGTCATATCTTTCCACCCATGAAGCACCGAGTACTCAATTGGCAGATGGCCAAAATCATCCACGCTATTTAAGAGTAGGTGAAGGTCGGACATCATGTCCGCAACTTCCCGAAGATCGAAAATAGCGATGATGTGGAGAGGCGTTGGATTCCTTGGGGACCATGATCCAACTATAAAGTCTTGGAACTCAAGGATCTGGATCGCTAGCCTTAGCTTATTTCTGCTGTCGAGAAATTTTGATACAAGGTGATTTAGATGAGGAACACCGTGCCCTTTGGCTTCGTGAAAGTGATCGCCCCAAGATGAGACGGCATATTCGAGCAACGGATATTGTCGAGAAAGCCGAGAAACATGTTCTGCAGAGAGTACTTGGACGTTTTCAAAGTTCTCAAAGTTGATGTAAGTGAGGCAAACTTCCGCCAGAATCTCGTTCGCTTGCGACTGGAGAGGGCCATACGTCAGAAGACTTGGTAGTTGAGATGAGAGGAAATCCTCCAGAGAGGCATGTCGGAGTTGATAGAATCCGTTGACCTCGGTGATGAGATCCGCACATTCTGTTGCTAATGCGAGATCGCTCGATAGTCGCCCACGTTGCTTTATATCTTTTCTTCCGGGTTTAACGGAAAGTGCCTCCAATAATTCGAGCTTCGACAAAGGACGGTATGCGTTTTTGACCCAAAGTAGAGCCCTGAGAGCACGATCTCTTACGTGGCTTGAACGGTGGTCGAGAATCTTTTTAAGCTCTTCGCCATAGAGCTCATCAAGTCCTTCCGTTTTGTCCCCGAGGGTTTCCAAAATATCCTCAACGCTTCCAATTTCTCTGAAGTGCCTTGACTTGAAATGAACCCACAGAAAAAGCCCGCTAGCTTTGTTGAACATGATCTTTTTGATATCTTCAAAGCCTTCTCGTTCATCGGGCGATGGATCACTGTTGATCTCCTCAACTTTGAATGAAATATAGGCCTTGATGTCCTCGTCATTCGCTCCCATGTCGATACGAATGGTGGGAAAGTGGGCAACAGCGGATCTGATGGCAGTGTAGTCTGGGCGGCTAAAGATGAGTATCTTAGTGCACACTCCCGAGTCTTTTGAGTCGGCTAGGCTGGCAAGAAAGTTGCAAAAGTCGGCAAATTGGCGATCTTCAAAGCGGCTACACTCATCCAAGCCGTCTACAACGAGAAATGTGAAGCGCAGGCGGTTGAGAACAAGTTTGATGCCTTCTTTTAGTTCGCTTCTAGAGAGTTCTTCCTTGCTTCCAGCGTCGGCTTGTCTCGTCAAAGTTGGAATGCCTTCTGAGGCAGGTAGCTGCTCATACAGCTGTCCCAAGATTGTGCCCAGCAGATTGTTGTACGTCAGTCTGGTCTTTGTCTGGTTAGAGGTGCAGTAAGCGTACGCCATGGAGGACGTCGCTTGTGTCGTCACTGGCGAAGCCAACTCGCTGATCACTCGGGCTGCCAAGTGCGATTTCCCAGAACCTGGTTTGCCGTGTATCCAGAGCAGGTCCGAGTTGACGCTGTCCTTCCAGAGTCGGTACTTCTCATTGCGGAGAAGCCAGTCGCCAGATGTAGGCACTCGCCTCTCAAAATGATTCTCGTGGATATCCCCGAAGTTGACGTGGGGAAGCCAGGCGAGGAATCTTCGGCGACTTTCGTCTAGAAAAGGAAGTTAGAAACTATCATGACTCTGTCAATCTCCTGATCCTGGCTTCTCACTATTTTCTTTATTCCTGGCTTCTTTTTCGCGTAGAGGAAGTGCTTCCAGGGACTCTTGAAACTTTCCGCCGAGTACTCTTTCGATGTTACCGACCCCAGCGGTAAGAGATTTGATATGTCGAGCGTTGACAATTCTTCTGCGCTTCTCCAGAGCACCCAGATGCAATTTGAATTGATCATTGATGTCTCCAAATTTCGAAGCAAAGTCCTGACATTGTGCCTTCATCGCCATGATGAACCCATTTTTCTCTCTGCCACGTTCATCGTAAAAGGTTCTGACGACTTTGATGCAGGTTTTGAGGATATCAGTAGCAAGCATAATCTCACAAGCTTTAATGTCAGGATCGCTTCCCGTCAGATCTTCTTCCCTGTACTTATTGATGATGTCAATCTCGTCGCCCATCCACTCGAGCATTTCAACCAGCTTGTTGTGGTATTCTTCCACCCTGTTGGTGAAAGATACGATGAAAGTGATTCCACCAAGTATCAGAGATGTAGGCATCGGGCTGACCTGGCCTGCACCTTCTATCAGGGGATGCAGAGACTTGACCAGAACGTGGATAGGTCTCATTTTCTCGGCTAATCTGGAAACTTTGCTTGAATCCACAGAGCTGGCTACGGCGCGTGACAGCTCTACGACATAGTCATCGTAACTTTCAGTTCGTGAACTCCTCAGAAGCATATCTCGCTGTTCTGGTTGTAGCTTCTCTGCTTCCAAAAGCCAAAAGTGTATGGCGTTGTCGGTACTTGGATCTCGGTTGCTCTTACGCCCGGTGGCTTCTGGGGATTTTCCACGTGGGGACATGGCCCGCAATGCGTGAAGTCTATTCATAATTAATCGCTGGAATGGAAAGGCGAAGCTCGATTCGGGCGCGATCTGTAATTCTCGTAGATCGCATGGAGGAGCCGACTCTGATGGAAAGAAGCGATGAATATGTGTAGGGTCGAGTGAGCGATAAATGCGAAGCCTGACAAGGCAGACCATTGAGGCTGAGCTTTTGATGAGAGGGTGACAGCATACCAACAAGCGGTCGCCTGTAGCCAGTCAGATGGTGAGTACTTCTGTATGAGTGATAGGCTTTGACGCAGGCTGACACACGCCGCATTCAGTCGAATGAATTGGCTAACAGTTCCGCTCATGCCAGACGAGTCGTGCTAGAACACATTCGTGTTTGCCTGCGCGGTTTCATGTCATCACATGTGAATTCTATGGAAGACACAGCGTGAGGTGGTTTATTGAAGTAAAGTGCAGTTGTGTTAAATGCATGGAAAGCTGCACGTAATTATCATTGCGCTTCGTAACTTCCAACATGAAGGCTTCACTAAAATTTCACTGGTCCTAAACCAGCTCAGACCTTTGATTTGGCTCCAACATTCTCAACCACTTCAGTATTGCCGCCTCCGCTCTTGACCTCACCAATAGTATCCATGTCATCGTGATGGATAACCTTCTCAACAGCACCAACAGCCTGATCGGCAAGAGCTTTGTCCTCAAACACTGATAAAGCACACTTGTCAGCCATCTTTGCAACAAGATTACGCACCAAGCGGGGCCATCGAGAAACTTACAGAAAGCCAACTCCTCAAGCGTACGTCCCGCAGTCTCGGGGAACATAAAGTACACAAACACGACCTCGAAGGCAAGCCAGACGCAGTAGCTGATGAGATATCTCCACGACGCCTCCTTGATGCCAATGGGGTTGACGAAGGTCGTGAAGAAGCCGGCCAGCCTGCCAAAGAGCTGGAAAAGCGAGATACCGCGCGATCGCAGGGCGTAGGGCCACAGCTCGACGAGGTAAGTGTACGTTAGGGCGTTGTAGCCGATGTTGTAGCAGGGCGAGTACATGAAGATGAAGAAGATTGTCGCGACGGAGGCGGACTGGTTCTTGTAGTCGTTATCGAGGGCGTGGACGGCGCGTTCCATTGAGATTGTCCAGCTGATGTAGCAGAGGAGCTGAGGAGATTGTGAGCGAGTGGGAGATTGAGATGAAGTGTGGGAAGAGACATACCAGTGAGACTGTGCAAGCTAGGTACATGACGCGACGGCGGAAGGTTCGCACGAGCATGGCTACGGTGAAGCCGCAGACGAGGGACCAGCCGGCGATGCCGAGGTTGATCTTTTGCTTGACGGTGGAGTCGGTCAAGCCGATCATCTGGAGCAGGTCACCCAAGTAGTATCTACACACCCCATGTTAGCCATTGCTCAAATGAAGATTCACGAACAGCATCGAAATACTTACGAGATGAGTGTGTTGCCGGACCACTGGGTAAATAGACCAAGCATGGAAGAAATGAGAGCACGGCGGCGCATACCCGCCGTGTTGAGAAGGTCCATCCACGACTGCTTGGAAGCTTCCATCTCTAGGGTGATGACGGTCTTCATCTGCGCCATCTCGGCCTTGACGAACTCGGAATCGCGGTCGCCCTCGGCATGGTACTTGATGAGGATGTCATGTGCTTCTTCGCTACGGTCTCTAGTGATGAGCCATCGGGGACTCTCTGGAAGGAAGCTGGAAGCATGATAGGTCAGATTTATTGAAGAAGCACGCGGTTATATGTTCCTTTGGGAGACCACTTACAAGACAAAGGTGATTTGCAAGAGAGAAGGGCAAATCTGAAGGAGAGAGGGGATTCTCCACGCCCAGTTGCTTGCGATGTTGTTGGTGCCGAAGCAGATACCAGCGGCCACAATTTGACCAACGAAGTACGCGACGTTGAAGCTGGAAATCCATCAGTCTACTCACTCCGTCCCACAAAGACTTGAATACTTACAGAGAGGTCAGAACAGGACGTTCCTTGGGATAACTCAATTCACCAATGAGAGAAGAGCCGGAGACGATACAGGTCGGGATACCAAAGCCGAGAATCATGCGGGCAACGATGTACATGCCAACTTCTCAAAGTTAGTCTTCATTCGAGTACAGGGCGGGCGATGAGACGGCCAAACATACCATGTTGAGAGAAACCCTGGATGAGGGCTCCAACAACCATGACCAAGCTGCCGCCAAAGATGGACCATCTTCGTCCAAACCTGTCGTTCACGATGGGGATAAAGGGAAGAGACAGAATGGCGCCGAGGGAGTACGCAGCGGCGATGATACCCTTCAAACTGCCCTGTGGATCTCCAAAGTCTATCAAATCTTGTCAATTTGAGTTCCTCAGCGTATTTACTGGACCAACTTACACTCTTTCCATGATGGCACAATCTGCAACGCATTGATCATTTGCGAATCGAAACCCGACGTCAACTCGATACCCATGCACGTTGGGAAGAGCATCAGGTAGAGGTATCGCAGGTTCGGCTTCTGGTACCACGGCACCTTGTCCTCCTCTGAAATGCGGGTCAGGATTGGGTCCGCCGCCCCGGTCTCCTGAGCACGCTTGATCTGGACCATTGTGAGGAATGAACTGCGGCTTGCGGAAGAAGACGGTAGATCGGTCAAGAGAGTCTCAGCGACGCGTCAAAAGGTCTAAACGGTGACAGTTGATGAGGATGGGATAAGGAATAAGTAGTTCTCTATCCAGTAGACGGAAGTATATGTTACCGACTCCTTGTCGCTGGGCGTTCAAGGGTGTGTGTTTATTCGAGGGCGCACAACTCCAACGCTTCTCTAGTGTATCCGTAGACTCTCTCGCCTCTCACTTCCGACGAGGTCCACCCGGGTATTTTATATACCTACACACCGCCGTGGATGTTTTACCCCATGTTTGAATACGTCTGACCCTATCAACACATGGGCAGTTTCCGGCAGAGGGAGAACCAGAGGAAGAGCTAAGGCGGGACAGCGGGAGAGGGAAGCGGCGCCGGCCAGGATCCCAGGTGGCAGAAGGTCCGAATGAGATGACTGTTGCGTCGGAGACACGCTCATAAAGAGCCGGGGGCCATGCTTCTCGCCAAGAAGTGCCCAGGAGGTCGGGGTTGGGGTTGAATTGAGAATGCTGTTTGCATTTATCCATCCAGTGAGGAAACCACGTTCATCTCAAACAATGGAGCAACAACCACTCAACGATATGCGGGGAAAGCTTCCACTCCCCCACATGGTCTTTGCTTTTCCCCATGGGCTGTTGGTCAGATGGTTCGCTGCTTGATTTATGGGCATGGGGTGTTTGGAGGGATTGTGGGAGTCCAACTCCGCATCTCCGCTAGAACAACTTGGATGGTTTGGGGAAAGGCCAGGAGCCAAGAAGGCTGTTTATTGGTTAGTTTTTCGCCTGTTGCTTACGGAAAACGAACGAACAGGATCAGCATCAGGTTCGTTTTCTCGAGGTGCTTGGCTTGGCGGTGACTTTATCAGAGGATGGGGGTGGAGGGGAGGTTGGCGTCGTTACCGTATTCGGTCATTCGGGATGGCCAGAAGCGAGATTTCGTATCCTGTGCCGAGGTCATGACGGAAGTCCGAGGAGTGGAGAGTCTAGGCAATTCAATCTCTTGGAATCTACGACGATAAGTCTACGGATGCTATGAGCCATGAACGCCTTCCTAGAAGTATGTGTCTTTGGAGTGAGAGGGTTCCGTCGAAACATGGTGTATCCAATGCTTTTACTGCGCAGTTCAACCGTCCCGATGAAGGTCGGCTAACTCCAACCACACTGCAGGTGCTCATGACTGATGCCGAGAGGATTTTCAGCGCAGTAACGCGGCACAGCTCGTCTATTCAAGGCGAGCTGTGTAGGATGCGGACGAAAAGAACATTACTGCATAAGCGGAATCGACCTGTCGTGTCACCACATGTTCTTGGGGTTGGAAGCCGTGCTTACCTCTCCCGCCGGCCGGGCAAGCGTTCGTCTGTGTGTTCATTTATTTCAATGCAATTGGCGAAGTTCCTACGCCTTGTGTATTCAAGATTTTGCCCACCACATACTGTCCTCACTTGTCATTGCAACGGGTCCGACCCCATTGTTCATGTTCATCCCAACGTTGCGGTTGACAGCTTGGGAGTCATGCAATACCCCCCACTCTACATATTACAGTACCATTCTAATCCATAACGAGTACCGACTGGCCTCCTCGGACTTGGAAACGGAACCCGCGTGTCAGCGGCGAATCGGAGTGTCGAAGCTATTGGAACGCGAGGGTGCAAGATTCCATGGTCGACCTAGCCGGGTAAATATCAAATACTAGAGAGGATGCGGCGGGGTGACAACCTCTTCTCCAATTCCCCCGTGCCCTAGGAATTACCCTTGAGCCACGACGTCGATCTTGACCCGGAGGAAGGGTGAGGCTTTGCGGGGAACCGTCAACGGCAGTTCATTGGATTAAAGCCGGATGCTGTCAACCATCCTGAATGAGCTCGAGATCCCAGGATATGACTGGTGTTATCACGTTTTTAGTGTACGCCCGACCACAGGAGACTTAGCAGGCTATATTGTATTAAGTCTTTTCCATCCTTTGCATCCAGCAATGAGCCCCTGGTAGGAAGCCAGACGGGACACGACGCGGACAAGAAGTCCTCCGTCCAAACCGAATAAAGGACAAACAAAGGTCCTCGACATACCCCATCTCCCCACAAAACAACTCACAAACACTTCCACAATGGGTTTTTGAATTCCTAGCAGCAGCAGGGCAAAGCGGTAAAACAAAAGACCACACCCTGCCCCTGCCCCCAATCCCTCTACCGGCATCGCGGGAGACCGGGGGGATAAGGGTGGTGGGGTACGCCTGTTAACCGTGAAGCCCAGAAAGAAGGGCCGATTGCCACGAGGGATTAGGACTAGATAATCGGGACGTCGTCCCTGAATTTCGTCCCTCTCCCAGCTTCTGCTTTTTTTGATCTCTTGAACTCCGAAGGGATCTTGGTCTTCGTTTTTTCTGCTTGTTGCTTGGATATCTGGCTTGGCTATGTGAAAGCTTCAAAGTGGGAAAAGAGGAGGCAGAAGATCCAGTCAGATACATGATTCTTTACGTCAACCCGAGTACTCCCGGCTCGAGCGCCCTCCCATCCGAACGATTTCGATATCCGATGAGAATTGCAGAAGGAAGGCATGGACTGAGAACCCGACCTGCTTGATACCGGCGGGCTTGGGATAAGCTTAATTGCTAGGGAAAGCAAGCTGTTTGGAGCGGACGTTCGTGCCGGAACCTTCAACATGCTATGGTAGTGAGGGGTGTTTTGCCTCCTAGGCGTCTGTTAACACCACAACGACTGACGACGACGACGATGATGATGATAATGATGATGTCGACGACGACCATGGTCAAGGACCGCAAGGCAACCTCCCACAAACCTCGTTCTTTACAACACGGAATCGAAATACCTCAAACTCAAGAGAATGTCAAAGTGAAGCCTGTACCCCACTCTCACGGCCTCTTTTGAAGTACCTATAAAGCAATACTCCACGAACCCTGTCTTTACAACCATAATGGCTGCGACGAGAGGCTTTGTTGGGACGTTCCACTCCTCAGCGGCACCGGCGCCCGATAACCTCTTCTTAAAGATGTTAAACTCAGGCCACGGAGATTGATAGTGATCTCCGAAATATCGAGTGTGGCGCTGGTCCATAGCATCTCAAGCACTATCGTCAATAAAGCGATGATCCACGGACCGTAGCCATGACGAGAATTTCGATCAAGATACTTGGCTCTACAGCAGTGCGGCGCCCACCCGCCACTTGCTGAAGATGTCAAATCCAAGCTATTGATATCGATAGTGACTTTCGAAGAGTGAGTGCTGGTGTTGGAACTTCGAGTACTATTAGCGTATATAAAGCGGTCCTCCACAGACCCCATCTTCACGATCCACAATAGCTGCGACGAGAGCTTCGATCGAGACGTTTGGTTCTACCGCAGCGCGGCGCCCGCCTCTCTCTAATTGAACAAATCAAACCCAGCCTACTGATGTCGATAGCGGCCTTTGGATGTTGAGTCCCGATGCAGGTCCAATGAACCTTTGGGTAACGGCGTGGGTTAAGACTAGGGTCTAGCTAATACTGGCTTGCGTCTTCGTATTCGTGAGTGGTTACGACTAGGGGAGGGAGGGAGGATAAAAGAGAGATAGAAAAGGTTAAGAGAGAAAGAGGGGTTAGAAGGGAGAGAATGAGAGGCTGGAAATGAATGACAAAGATGATAGAGAATGGATGACAGGGCAGGCTTGTTCTGTTTACCAGCATCGTCACCGTCGCCAACTGCCTCATCGACATCCATTACGTCTCCACCCTCACCAGTCTCACCATCTTCTCCACCAGACTCTCCAGACTCACCAGTCTTACTATCTTCGCCACCATTTTCACTACTATCGTCGTCCTCCTTGTTATAGCAAGACTTCTGGCGGGGGTGCTCATGGTCAAGGTTAGGGTCATCGCTACTACTATTCGAGTCGGAGTTTGTGGCGCCGTGCTTTGTCAACATCTTAAAAAGTCCCCTGGATGCGTTAGAGCGATGGAGAGGGTCATCATTCTCAGAGATGATGGAAGTTCAGTAGCATAAACGATAGACTGAACGACGGAGATGATGAAAACATAACCCAGTGATATAGATAATGGAAACTCGAAGATAGAGATGATGGAAACCCAGTGCCATGAATGATGGAAATTCAAAGACAGGGGTGATCGGAAAGAAATGACAAGGCATGAAGGAAGTTCAATGATGGGGATAATGGAGAATATAAGATAGAGGTAAAATAAAATTAGAGATAGAGATGATCTAGAACGAGAGACAAGAGACAACGGATTCATGAGAGATAGACGATCATAATGAAAGATAGATTGGAGACTGAGAGATAAGGAGGATGAAAGGGCAAGCAGAGAAGATGAGGAAGGAGGAGCAGGGTGAGAAAGGAAAAGAGCTCTGCTTCACCTCGTCTCACCTTACCTTCTGATATTTCCTTCATCCCCAAGTTGGTCTTGAATAGATCTAAGACAGGGAAGCCATGGACGTTCCGGATGACTTAGTTCCGATCGACAGGTATCGGTACTCAGCCTCAGGTTGGTAGCCCTCAACATACTGACCAGTTCTCAGTTGTAGTGGCGGATAGGTTGATGTAGACATTGACAGTAGTCTCACGGATCACACAATTCATCAAGCAAGCCATAGAGTCTAGCAATATGCATCATGAACAAGAGGTGATGGTCATTACTCCAGTGCTAGGAATTCTAAGGATTTTTTTCTTTCCCTCTTTCCACTTCCTGCCAGCGGTTTGGCCACACCATTGCGTGGGGACATATCCGGTCCCCGTGTATACCCATTTACATTCATACACAACGTCATAAGAAATCGCAATCTCATTTCGTCTCACGAACAACCTTGTCGACCGCCTTGGCAAAATACTCGACATTCCTCGTGTTGAGACCAGCCATGCTGATGCGGCCGTTCTTGGTCATGTACACGTGGGCGTCCTCGCGCAGCTTCAGCACCTGCGTCTCTGACAGGCCGGTGAAGCTGAACATGCCGATCTGGTCGGTGATGTGGTTCCAGGTGCCGGGGGTGCCGAGCTCCTCGAGCTTGGCGCGCAGGACCTTGCGCATCTCGATGATGCGGCCGGACATGGTGCGCAGGTTGTCCTCCCACTCGGCGAAGAGCGCGGGGTCGTTGAGCACGGTGGCTGCGACGCGGGCCCCGTATAAGGGAGGGTTTGAGATCTCGGAGCGCTGGAGGATGGCGAGCTGGGAGGCGATACGTTTTGTGGTCTCGGCGGCGTCGGAGGCCGGAGCGGTGACGAAGTGGAAGCATCCAGCGCGCTCGCCGTAGAGGCCAAAGTTCTTTGCGAAACTCTGGGCGATGAGGAGCTCGAAGCCCTGCTCGATGAAGTAACGCACAGCCCAGGCATCCTGGGCAAGGTTGCCGGAGGCGAATCCCTGGTAAGCGCAGTCGAAGAAGGGGAAGTGGTTCTTCTGGCGCATCAGGGCAGCAATCTCCTTCCACTGCTCTTGTGTCGGGTCAACACCGGTGGGGTTGTGGGCGCATGCGTGAAGAAGGATGATTGAGCGCTCGGGAGCGGAAGACAGGGTAGACTTAAGGCCCTCAAAGTCAAGGCCCTTTGTCTCCTTGGAGAAGTAGGGGTACTGGGCAATAGGCAAGCCGACATTGCCAAAGATCTGGTTGTGGTTGGCCCATGTTGGGTTGGAGATGTAGACTGTGCGGTTGCCCTTGTAGAACTTTGCAAGGAAGAGTGCGCCGAGATGGACGGCACCGGTGCCGGAAATCGTCTGGACGGAGGAGGTGCGCTTCTCACGGATGGCGGGCGAGTCGGCGCCGAGCATCAGCTCGTTGGCCTTGCCGGTGAACTGGGGGATACCGGCGATGGGAGCATATTCGTGGTTGAGTTCGGGATCGTTGCGGAGGATCTCGTCGGCCTGTAAAGTTGCATCATGGCGGGGTTAGCGGGGGTGGGTAACTTGTAAGGGGCAGGCCAAAAGTGGAGGAAGTGGGATGCGATGAGGGGAAAGCTCATCAAAAATAGGATGATGCTGCACATCAGCTGTTGTGCCGCCGATGCGTGACGCAGCCGGGCTTTGCCTTGCTGGAGCCGGAGGGGCCGCAAGCAGGGTCCGTCTCCGGAGGGCATTCACACAACAAGGTGAAGGGGGGAAATCAAAAGAAGAGAATGACGACGCACCTTCTTGACGACGGGGAGAACCCAAGGCTTCGCATTGTCATCGCGGTAAGCTCCAATTCCCTGGTCTGGTTAGCAAAAGAGCTCAGAACAGCATCAAGACAGCTAGCTGCTGCTGCTGCTTGATGAATCAAGGGTTCACCCCACCAAATCGACCTTGTCCTTGCTCTGGTCTGCCCTGTAGGCGGCCATCAAGCCAAAGAGGGGATCCTCAGGAGCTTGCGGCACCGTGCTGGCAGGGAAGTTTGTGGTTGAAACGGGCGCCATGATGTGTGATGCGATGTTGCGTATTCTCGAAAGAGTAGAGTTGTTCTGGGGAGAAGAGGAAGAAGAGGAAGAGGCCGAAGCTGATGAAGAAGAGGAGGAATCACCGGGCATTTTCAGCGTCGGAGCTTTCGTGAGAAGGGGGAACGAGTCAGAGGCGGGGGGGGAGGAAGGGTCTGTCTGGGGGTGGTTATTATTATGGCATCAAATAGTGGTACGATTTAGACGGGCGAATGGGAAGCTTTGCGATTACAGGCGCCAACCGTTTGTCCAGGCGTCTGAGTCTCTGAGGTGACCCAAGTACTCCGTACCTGACCCAGGTGGGCAGTGAGAATGGGAGCTGGGTCACCGGTGTGGTCGGGGTGTTTTGGGACCTTCCATGGGACCTTGGGGTGAGAGGTGCCCCTTCTGCCCGGGCTCCCGGAGGGGTCACCGTGTCACCCGACGCTCTGAGGTTGGACGGGGAAGGGGAAGGGGGGAAGCGGACATGCGCCTCCATAGACGGGGGGGACTTCCAGCTAGGGCGGGAAACGTCTAGGACGTCAAGGAACAGGGCAAGCCGCAAGATGACATGTTGCTGAGGTGAGGGACAAACGGGCTGCAACTGCTTACCTGGGGGATGAAAGACGGGGGGCTTGGTTGGCGCGGGAGCTAAGCTATCCCGGAAAGACCTGGACGTGTTAACTAAGGCACCGTTCTCCGTACAGCAACGCTTGGGTCTGGCCGGGTGTCTCGTCCTCACAGCGCGGCGCTCCGGGAGTTGCAGAAACGTACAGAAAGGTTGATGTGGTTGCAGCGGACGGGCGGGCTGCAGAATACAGACACTAGGTAGGTATGTACAGATGCAGGGCGCAGGCTACACTGTACGGCAGAGCAACGGCTTGGATACGGGGGGTTGGTTGGGTACGGAGGAGTAGTGGAATCCTGGATGAAAGGGCTAAGATAGTGATGTTTTGGCTCGGACGATCGGAGGGCGTAGTTTTTGTGGTTCGGAAATTCTGGCTGTCTGAGGCCTGAAAAGGTGGCAGAAGAAACTCGAGAAACAGCAAACAATCGAGTTTGAATGGAACCTGGTGACGGAGAAAAAGTACCACTGTGACACGTCCAAGGTTGGGTTTTGGGGCAAAGTTGTATCAAATGGGATCCACCAGGTGCGGGCAGGATAGTCAGGTCGAGGAAGGTATTTCGTAACGCCTTGCTCGAATCGGGTGCGGATAGGCGGATTTGTCTGCAGAAATAGATTGATTCTGTGTTTTTCTGGGCAGCTGGGCAATTGGATGCGATGTCTTGCAAGTTCCCGGGATGATGAGGCAAAGAGAAAAGATACCGAAAGTGAAGAAATCGGCGAAGTGTCGGGCAATGGTCGGGGATTTCGTTTCGTTGTTTCCAGGTTTGGCAGCAGCAGCAGTGGCAGTACCTTCCCTTCAGTGTCTTGTGCATCGGCGGGGGAAGGAGCGCGCCTTCTTCTTATCCTCTAGCTGTCGGCTCCCCGCTGCTTCCCCATTTGCCCCAACCTTTCCCAATTGCGCTTGTGAGGTCACCCGTGGAGGGCGGGCCGAGGTCTCGGGCTCAACCCCATGACTCTCCAAACTCTCCCATTTGCTGCCAGATTGTCATCGCGACTCGACGTTTGCTTAGTCTCGTAGTGTACTCCGTAGTACAGATTGAAGTTCATCCCGGTTTATCTTCTTGGATTCCTTCTGAACCGTTGATATCGGATGGAGTGCATTGCCGAGCCACTTCAGACCAAAGTAACGAGATCATCTCATCTTGTCTGTATAACGGACTGCAGCTTAACAGACGCACATTCATCTTCCTTCATCTTACACCACCTATTTGGAGATTCACGCCTTGACTTGGGATCAATACCTACACTACGAGGGTTTTACGGACAGCACAAATTTAGAGCTCGGCAACTTCCAGTATAACCGCAAAGATGAGACCACTCCTCGGTATTGCAACGCTTCCCCCCTTCCAAAACACCGCAGGTACCGAGAACCGTTTCGCATGTTCAATATCGTTAGCAGCGCCAATCAGAAGCTCGCCTGCCGCAAGCTTGCCCAGACACTCGCCGAAGCTCCCCCGGCATCCCAGCTCCGTACAAGCCGTCCCGGAGAACACACCGCGACAACGCTTCTTCACTGTGATAAAGCGAACCTGTAGTTTGCTTGCGTAAGGTGCTAGATAATGTAGGCAAGGCAGATCAGATTATCAAATGCTCCTAGCGCCCGAAGACCAAGGCATCAGTCCTCTCATTTTCTCGTTCGCTGGATTTACATGGCTTGCAACTAAAAGGTCACCTGCACTTGGTCCAGGCTTTTTGACGACCCGGCATGTGACGCTGCTATCTATAAACTTTCACATGTCTGTCAGCCCAACCTCCCACCATAGCAATATCAGCCTGTGATTCAAGCCATGGAATGCCTACTCGAAATGCTACCTCAATAAGTCAAAAGTGCACAACTCTACAAGACTGAAAATCAGAGGTGAAATTTGGCAGACCACGATATGTGGTGCGTAGTACAGCCAAGACAATGGTTCTCATGGTATTGTATCGCCAAACTGGGCAAACTCCCAGCCAAGCTTCTATTCAACCCAATGCTTCCGGCCTCACAACTAGATAATCAAGTCCCAAAGAATCAAAAACGTACACAACCCTGCCGACGCGAAAAAAGTATACCTCGCCGCGCTCGGTCGCTGCGTCGCCTTCTTCAGCTGCTTGTTACCACCGCCCACGTCCGCCGTAATGTTTTCCGAGTCCGCCACGAGTTGCTCAATATGCGCAGACTGCGTCGCCAAGTTGCCCACCAGTAACGTCTGCAGCTCTGCAATCTCGAGTAGCGATTTCTCCGCCGTCCTATTCATAGGCACCAAGTGGTTAGCGATGTATTCCGAAGGAACCTCTGGGCGACTTGTAGTGAAAAAATGCCGAGCCATCGAAAACATACCTGACTTTGTCCAGCGTGCTGTTGTAATGCTGAAGCATATCCTGGTTTCCTTTCTCAAACATCTGAACCTGCTCATCCGTGAGACCCTCTCGCGGGTCATACGACGACGACGCACCCTCATCCCCGGGCGGCAAACCAGCCTTGCCCGTCGCCCCCTTGCTGGTCGCAGCAGTCTTCGCCATGGACTCATAAAACCCGCCCAGCTCAGGCATCGCCCCGCCGCCGCCCGCCTTCGCCAAAACACTCCTATTCTTCTCCATCTCCCTCGTGAGCCTCACCTCCATCATATCCTGCTGCGTCCTCCCGCACCGCTGCAGTCCCAACCTCAGACTCTGAATCACCTCGTCGCGGTGCTGCTCAATCGTCCTGGCACGGGCCTCGGCCGCCGCGTGCTCTGCCGTCTTGCCCTTACTGCTGCCGCTGTCATTGTCACTCGCTGCAGCCCAGGCGCCGAGGGCACCGAGCCTGCTGGCGTACTTTTTGCGGATGACGGCCGTTTCGGTTTCGCGGCGGAGGAGCTCTGCTTCGTTGAGGGCTGTGATGCTCGCGTTGAGCTCGCGGAGCATTTGCTTTGCGTTTGCATCCACTTCTTCGCGGTCGCGGTCTGTTAGGTGACGTTGTTGGGTGGCGGCGGCGGCGTGGATGTGTGTTTTGCGCGGTTGCGCTGTTGAAAGGTAGGCTTGTCGGACATCTTTGAGTTCGTTGTGGAGGTTTGTAATGTGGGAGTTCTGGATGTCAAGGTGTCAGAGGCATACAGTTCTCAGAAACAGAGAGGTGGTTTGGTAGAGACTGACTATTCTGTAAGCCTCCTTGAGGAAGCCGTCAATTGCTTCGAGACTGAGCTTCTTTTCGGTGACGGTGGGCGCATTGCGCTTCCGCAGGAGGTCGTTGAATGCTGGTGTAATGTCCATTTTGGGGGACCTATCGCACTTTGCCGTGCGGCTGGGAGAAGGGAACGTTTCAATCTGGAAGCAATTACGTGGTGTTGAGGAGCACCGGAATCCGTAACATCACGTCGTTCAATCCTGTGGTCACATCCTCGCTGCCAGCTGGAGATCTGGAAAGCTGTTCTCCAATGACGTGGCTTGGGTTCTCAGGTCTCACTAGCCACATTTGTCCCCTCGGACTGGGGGCTGGTGTGGCTGTTTTTTGGACGGATTAGCTAAGCGGATTAACAGTCAGAGTTCGGGGCTGCATCGGCAGGTCGGCAAGGGCGTCGGCAGGGCGCACGAGCCAACCCCTCCACAACAACGAGACCGAAGCTTGCAAAAGACGCCAATTGTGACGTCCATCAACCACTTTCGACATCCTCGTTGAAAAAAGGACCATATTCGAGAACGGGATTCTAGAAAAGGGCTGGACATTTGAAGTGAGGCTGTCCGATCTCGGAGTGAACCCAATTCATGCTAGAGTCAAGCGTCTCTAGCTATTGCCCTCCACCACCTAACTAAAGGCGCAATGATGAATCTCTTAGTGCCATTTGTCAAGGAACACCAACGGATTCTTTTTTGGCTGCGATCATCTCGCCCGATACCGCACCGATAGACACGTCCCAGAAGCCGCCTCGGTCAATGCTGGACGGCACCAGCTGCCCAAAATGGGCGGGCTTTTGTGGAGGTATGGCCCGGTCCGGGCGAATCATAAAAGCTGTATGTTAATCGCGGTCGGTCAGAGGCCGAGTGGTGGAGGCCGATCTGGTAGCGGAAATAACATCATTGTTGTAAAGCTGGGTAGGTATGCGGCAGGGCGGCAAGATGGTCCCGCTTATGGATATGGACTACCTGCAAAATCTACATAGGCCAGCAAGATCATCCATTCTTGTGAAGTTTACTTGCTAATCTTTTCCGGTTTAATATTACTTCAATATATAGTCTTTGCTATATCACAAAAGAGTATCGTGAAGCACTGTCAAGTAAGTGTCTGGAGACGGCAACGGCAGCCAAGCTTCGATCTCCGTTCTTCTCCCGCCTTGTCATCTCTCTGTATCTTTGCTTGATACGGAGATGCCTTCTTGATAAGTATGGGACAAGATGAGTTGAACCACATAGGCCAAATGGACTTGGAAAGGAATCAAACAGGCCTAGACACAACACTTCCGAGTCCGTCCATCATCCAGGCCTCGTCACCAAGCGACCCAGAACTCGCCAACGAGAAATCACATAATGAAGTCTCCTCGACCGAAGACCCCAACCCGGTCCACGATCAAGACGACCCCGAAAATCTCACCCGCCAGCCCAGCGGCCCAGCCTACAGCGTCTTCTCTCCCTCCACAAAGCGCTGGGTAGCCTTCATGGCCTCCGTCGCCTGCTTCGTTCCGCCCATGTCCGCAAACATCTACTACCCGGTCCTGGCCCCCATTGCAGACGACCTCCACGTCTCTGTCGCCCTCGTCAACCTCACCGTCACCTCCTACATGATCCTCCAGGCTATCTCCCCGACGCTCTTTGGCGATTTCGGCGACATGGCCGGCCGCCGCCCGGCCTTTCTCGTCGCCTTTAGCATCTACCTCGTCGCCTGCGTCGGACTCGCCCTGCAGCGCGACTACGCCGCCCTCCTCGTCCTCCGCATGCTGCAGAGCGGCGGGAGCAGCGGCGCCATTGCGCTGGGGTTCGCCATGGTGGCTGATATCTCGGTCAGCTCGGAGCGGGGCAAGTATATGGGCATTGTCGGCGCGGGCATCAATATCGGCCCCACCATCGGTCCCGTCTTGGGGGGCGTCTTGACACAGTATTTCGGCTGGGCGTCCATCTTTTGGTTTTGCGTCGTGCTCATCAGCCTTTGGCTTGTCCCGTACGCCCTCTTCGTCCCGGAGACCTGTCGCGGCGTCGTGGGCAACGGCTCCGTCCCGGCTCAGTCGTGGAACCGGCCCCTATTCGACCTCATCCGCCGCCGCCGCCGTAACCGTAGACACCAGGACACCGGCGCTCTTTCTCAGACCGAATCCATACCAGCACACCCTCACCGCAAACTCCGCTTCCCGAACCCAATCCGCTCCGTCAAAATCATTTTCGAAAAAGAAATGGCCCTCGTTCTCGCCTACAACAGCCTCCTCTACGTAGCCTTCATCTGTGTAGCTGCCACCCTCGGCACCCTCTTCCGCGAAATCTACCACTTCAACGACCTCGAGCTCGGCCTCTGCTACCTCCCCTACGGCGCGGGCTGCGTCGTCGCCAGCCTCGGCCAGGGCTACGTCCTCGACTGGAACTACCGCCGAATCGCCTCCCAAATCGGCTTCGCAATCGACCGCCGCCGGGGCGACGACCTCCTGAAATTCCCCATCGAAAGGGCCCGCCTGCAGCCCGTTTACCCGGCCGTCGCCGTCGGGCTCGCGGCGCTGACGGCTTACGGGTGGGTGCTGCATTACGAGGTCGGCGGCGTCGCGGCACCGTTGGTGCTGCAGGGTGTAATCGGGCTCACGATTACGGGGTCGTTTAGCGTCATGAATACGCTCATTGTGGACCTTTTCCCGAACGCGCCTGCGACGGCGACGGCGGCGAATAACCTGGTGCGGTGCGCCATGGGCGCTGTTGGGACGGCGGTGATTGAGTACATGATTCGTGGGATGGGGAGGGGGTGGGCGTTTACGTTCCTGGCTGCCTTGTGTGCTGTCTTGAGCCCGATGATGTTTTTGATAGCGAGGAAGGGTCCCGTGTGGAGGAATGCGAGGCGGATGAGGGAAGAGGCGTCATGATTTGGTTTGAAGTTGGATACAGCCTTTCGGCCATTGTAAAAGAGACTGGCCTTTTGGGCGTTGGGTAATGATATGAAAACATCTCAGTTTTAGTTTCAGGTCCAGGAGCGGGTTCAAGTTCGTCTCTCCTGGAATTGTGGTTTTCTATAATTATCACCGACTGCCGGTGCCACATGATCCAGCCATGTCAGAGAATGATCGACACTCTAGATGTTTTTGAAAACGTGATATCCAGGAATAACTCAAAGTTGAACCTGGGGGATCATCTGCTATCGATAGAGGCTCACAAGCTTGGACCAGACTTGTGTTTTCTTTGCGAACCACCCTCGCCAGGGTCAGGCAAACGCGGTCAAGACATAACAGCAAAATAGAGTCGACCTAGCTCAGGTAAGCGTAAGTTTGTTTTGTCTCACTGTCTTGTGCATGCGCTCGCCCAATAAGATAGAGAAACACGCATACGCTGCTACTATGTCATCCATCCCTTGGAGGCTGTTAGCCATGTCTCAGAAGCTTTAAGAGCCGCTAAGTGGCTCGCTGTTTCGCTTGACTCTAGACTTCGATGGGCTGCTAGGTCTTGAACGTTGGAATAGCTGCGTTGCCGGACCGCATCCGGCATCGCTAACGGTCTGGTATGTCGTGGCTGTTGTGGAAGCAAGACCATCGGGCCCAGCTTCGGGTTGAGATAGGAGCAAACTCCGAGCTCAGAGTTCATGCTTACAGCATCCCTTTCGTTCCATAGCCTCGACTTCTTTGTAGGCGTGGTCTCGGAAACCCCTCTTTTGAGGTAATTCCTGGCCATAACATCGTACAGAGTATCGTATGGAGTACCGAGTACACGTACTGCCGTGGGATGGGAGAATTGCCGTGAGTTGCGTACCACGTAGATTATACAGAGATCTCTCTGTTCGGCTAGGGCGCTTGGATACGATGACAAGCTCCAAGAGAGATGTAGACTCTACGAGCGGAACTACCAGCTCAGGCTGACTGACAAAGTTGTTTGTGTCGCTGGCCAACACTAGGAGGCGAATAGGTTAGCGACTTGGCATCAGAGTCCGTACTTCCTGTATGAGCATGCGCCGCTGCCCGATGTGGTATAAGGACCATAGGCGCCGTTGACGGTCCTGAGAAGAGAATCAAGACCGCAGATCAAACACTCTATTTCATACCAAGATCAACAAACGATTCCCGTCACTACAATGCACCAGCAAGTGAGTTAGTCCATTCAGTAGTGCCTCGGTCAGAAGCTGAGTTTTGTCTAGACCAAGTCGAATAAGCCCACCTCCAAAGGAGGATCGGCATCGATGAAGCAGCAGACCCAGGTGGCCCAAGAATATCCCAACCCAGCCCATCACCAGGCCAAGAGGCATGGCGTCTCTAGACCAGAAACGAGCATCGTAAATGATCCACATCAATCGAATTGTCTTTCGTTCAAAAAGAGAAAGAACCGAACGAATATGGTTGCTGTAGATCGTCCATGGCCTAGGGGAAAGGAAGCCCAGCAGGCTAGGCTGGATTCTTTCAGCATGACGTTCGATTCATCTGTACATGACCCATCGCAGCGTTGGTACTATGACGATATGGCTGATCAGCCTTACAATGCAATAGGCGAAGTCGAAATGCCTGCTCGAAACTCTGATGAAATACCGACCGGTGGAGAAAACGACAGCGTCTGGGTATATGAGCCTGCGACTAGCAGTAGCATGGTCTGGTATGGCAGTGTACAATGATGCATAAACGAGGATAGGGACAGAAAATTGGTTTGCGGTAATGTGGTACTGGATATCATTTTGTCGTCTATAAAGCGGGGACCGAGGACTCCAAAGCCTCTCTTCGAGCTTCCCAAGCCAACCAATCTGACCTCGTTGTCCTACTCCCGCGTTAGCAATGCCATTGTGACCAAACCTGTGAATGAATACATACGGCAGCAATCCCATCGAGTTAACCTTCCAAACCGCCAGCGCTAGGGCCACGAATTGCATAGCGACGTATGCCAGCTTGACCTGCAGCATCTTGGCCTTGTTTGTTTCTGACTCGAACCTCTCGAATGCCTGGTTCACCGCGGTGAGACCCATCAGAGGATTTTTGAAAGCCATGAAGACCATCATGATGCTGAAGATCTGGAGCGAGTTGCCGGACATATACATCATGATTGCCGTCATTGGCAGGTTCTTGACGGGGGCGAGCGCCACCTCCCACGCCTTCTTGACTTTCAGAGTATCCATCTCCTCGGGTGTCTGTTGCTTGCGCGGCTGGATAGCCTTCTGGTCCTTCTGCTTCTACAGACACAACTTAGCTTCCGATGATTGCTTGAGGCGGGCCGCTGTGAGCTTACCTTGGAGCCGGACGAGGTCTGCGACGGGTAGCCTGGGGGATCGGAGATGCCGGGGACCTTGGACTTAGCAGCAGGGGGAGACTGTAGGTCTGCCACCCATCGCGGGATATCGCCATTGACCAAAGCCATGATCGGAGTATGTATGTCGAGCTTCGTTAGTCGAGCGCGCGGTCGGAAGCTTAAAGGATTCGAATGCAGGTGTTGAGACGAAAGCTGCCAAACAGTTCCCGCGATGACGGGCTGTCGTTGGGAAGCAGTTCTCCACAAAAAGGGCCGGCTAAACCCTGGAAACACAATCCGACGCGCACCCCACGCAGTTCCATTGACAGCGGCTGCGCTTATTCTTTATCGGCTGACCGATAAGGCCCAGTTTCGGACCTGTCGCACTCCACTGCGGAACGGCGGGAGCTTTGGGAATCCAACGTTGAACTTCCCCTTAAACAACTGGAAATCGCATCCCCGGATTGCCCGCGAGAAACAAACGATAGCCGACCGCACCCCGTACCGTCGCACCGAGCAAAGCGAATCCTCCCAAATCGCCCACGATAGACATCGGCCACAGCAGCTGGTGTAGAGACAAAAAGAAGGTTGTCCGGCATTTCAGCTCAACGACACGTTGATCAAGCAGAGGCCTCTTCGATTGGCCGCAACCCCCCGGCACCAACGACGCATGTGACATCCCTTCTGCCTCTGCACCCCTCCCACTATCCAAGACAAGTCAAGGAAGCACTGCGTCTTCCCGCCAACTTTTGCGACCCCGTTCCGATCGAGTGGCTTGGCCCTAGTACAGGGAAGCCAAAGTCGACATACATCGCGCAGCTGGGCGTGAGGGGTCCTAGGGTGTTATCGCCCACCACGACGCGATCGAGAACCGGCAGAGAGCTTGTCGGGACACCCGTACGGAGGGATCCTGCCTGAGAATCGCACTACGCGCCACCACACCGACCGCTGTGTCTGATACCAGGAGAAAGCCGCCATCATGTCGAGCGCACAGGGTGGAGGAGACTCCAAGTTGTTTGCCAGGGTAAGAATTCGTTCTTGTCTCTCCTAATTTCGTTGCGCATACATGTCTTGCCGTTGGACAACGTCCTTCGCGAATTCTGTACCAAAATCCTTCGATATTTGTCTGAGACAAGCTGAGCTTGTTATCTGGGAGTTATTCCTACTACTGTCTGCCCCGCCGTCCCCAATACCACCAGCCTTGCTGTGCCTTCCGGTCTCGAGCTTCAGCTTCCCCTCTCATCATATGTTGCTGGCGCAATCGTCTTCACCTCACCTCACGTTTTCTACCTTGGATGCTGTCGTCCTATGTGTCGCCCGCCATGTTTATGGCCTACGTGCCCCCGCCGACTTACGTCAATAAACTAATAACCTCCAAGGGCAAAGTCGCAGAATTGCGGCTGGAACTCAACAGCGGCGGCAAGAAGGACAAGAACTATGCGAGCAAGAAGATTGCGCTGAAGAAGATCGTCGCCAACATGACCATGAGCAACAATGATATGGTCGCGCTATTCCCCGACATCATCGGCTGCATGCATATCCAGAGTCTCGAGATCAAGAAGATGTACTACCTCCCGATAGCTCCCCACGGAATATTCAGGTGTTGACGAACCATTTAGGTGCTTCTTGTTCCTGGTCAATTACGCAAGGATGCGACCAGAAATTGCCGTCCAGGCTATTCCTGTCCTGGAGCAGGTGAGCGCGGCCCCTTGACTTCCTGAGAAGTCAGTTGATTAACGTCGCCCCAGGATATGGAAGATCACAATCCGCTGGTCAGAGCGTTGGCCCTGCGAACGATGTCTTACATACATGTCCGGGAATTCGTCGAGGCGACTGTTCCTTTGGTCAAGCACATGTTGAAGGACGCGGATCCATACGTGAGGAAGACGGCCGCCTTCTGCGTCGCAAAGCTATATGACCACGATAGGCGCATGATCGAGGGTTCAGATCTAATCGACAGGCTCAACACGCTTCTCAGAGATGACAACCCTACCGTAGTGGCCAGTGCGCTAGCATCGTTGATGGACATTTGGGAGCGTAGTGACGCCATCAAACTTACCATCGACTACAGCAATGCCTCCAAGATGGTGGCTATCCTTCCCGACTGCTCAGAGTGGGTACTATCAATCGCTTTGCAAAGGCTGTTGCTGACAATCATGGCAGATGGGGTCAAACATATATCCTCGAGGCACTCATGTCATATGTGCCTCAGGAGTCAGGGGAAGCTTTGCTTCTTGCCGAGCGCATATCGCCGCGTCTTTCACATTCAAACTCAGCCGTCGTGCTCACCTGCATCCGTGTCGTTCTGTATCTCATGAACTACATCTCGGACCAGAGACAGATCGCAATCCTGTGCAAAAAGCTATCTCCTCCCCTGGTGACGCTCCTTGCCAAGGGCCCAGAAGTACAGTACCTCGCTCTACGAAACGCTCTCTTGATCTTGCAGCGTCGACCTGAAGTCTTGCGCAACGACATTCGCGTCTTCTTCTGCAAGTACAACGACCCCATCTACGTCAAGGTCACGAAGCTCGAGCTCATCTTCATGCTCGCCAACGAAAACAACATCGATGAGGTCCTCACCGAACTTAGAGAGTACGCGACGGAAATCGACGTTCACTTCGTTCGCAAGGCAGTGCGAGCGATAGGCAAACTGGCTATCAAGATCGAGCCGGCAGCGCGGCAGTGTATCAACCTGCTCCTCGAACTGGTTGCGACCAAGATCACGTATATTGTACAGGAGGCCACGGTCGTTATTAGAAACATCTTCCGCAAGTATCCGAACCAGTACGAGTCCATCATCGGCACTCTCTGCGAGCACCTCGACTCTCTCGACGAGCCGGAAGCAAAGGCTGCAATGGTTTGGGTCATTGGACAGTACGCGGACAGAATAGAGAACAGCGAGGCACTCCTGGAAGACTTTTTGTACTCGTTCGCCGAGGAGCCGGTAGAAGTGCAACTGGCACTGCTCACGGCGACCGTCAAGCTCTTTATCCAGAGACCAACCAAGGGTCAAGAGCTGGTGCCTCGCGTCCTCAAGTGGGCGACGGAAGAGACGGATAACCCGGATCTTCGCGACAGAGCGTACATGTACTGGCGACTCCTGTCGACAGACATGGCCGCAGCCAAGCAGATCGTCATGGGCGAGAAGCCGCCCATCACGGCCGAATCCGAGCGCCTCGACCCGGCCACACTCGAAGAGATGTGCCTCAACGTCGGCACGCTCGCTACGGTGTACCTGAAGCCGGTGCAGACCGTCTTCCGCTCAGCGCGGCCCAAGAAGCTGACGGACTCGCCGGCGCTGCAGAAGCACCTCCTCCCGACGTCCATCGAAAACCAGAAGAGCTTGAGCATGCTCGGCATGGGCGGACAGGCCCAGGATTATAACATGCACGGCCAGCACATCGCCAACGACCCGGCGGCGGCCAACGGCGAAATGGCGCAGGCGGTCAACGACGCGGACGCGTACTTTAACAGTATCGGACCGCAGCAGATGGCGGCCATGAGGATCGACCAGGGAGACGTGTTTGGTGAGACTGGGGGTTACGAGACGGGGTATGTGGTGAATCAGCACGCTCCGCAGCAGGTGGTGCAACCAGCGCAGGGGAGCAATGGTGATTTGCTGGTACTGTGAGAAGACACATGCGACGACGAGCTCAATGGGATGTGTGTTGGAGGAGGAGTAGGATTTTTGTTGGACTGTAGGCTACGAAACGAAAGGATATCCTCGGTATTTTAGTAATGGCAGTGTGAGGGAAAAGTTGACAAGTAGCAAATTCGAGGAAGTCATTGGCCGTACTTATCTCCGTGTGCCCGAGGATGGAGAGCAACCTCCAGCATACCTGACTGAGTATACTAGCATGTTCGTGTATCTCTAGGTTAATATAACTAGGTTGGCGTTCCCTCAACCTATAGAGTAGGAAAGGACACAACATGGAATCCAAAGAAGAAGCTGCGGAGAAAATAGATTCTTCTTTCGTCATCTCCCCTATTTCATACCTTCTTCGATGCATGCGCGAGCAGATGCCAGAACCTACAGGCTTGAGATGTGATGAGTATTTGTCTTAAAAAGCCATTGGAGAGTTCAGACAAAGACGAGACCAAGTCGTGCAATGCGGGCGCACGACAGATGTTTGTTTAGCGGCGGGCCTCGACGGGAGGTCTAAGGGGTCCGGCCGGAACCTTGAGTTTTAGGAGGAATCTACAGTTCTAAGGGGCCGATGGGATAGGCTACTGGACCGTACTACCTACAGAAATGCAGGCAAGCTGTAGTTCTTTTCGTAAATGTGAAAGGAGAGCAGTCATCAGGACCCTCAGAGCGTGGCGGAGCACACAAGTCCGGCTCCGGCTTTGGATTGGTGCCGTGGTCTTGATTCCCGTCAGTACCTTAGGTAAGGCAAAGTCGGCAAGGTCGGTAACTTGGTATCAGCTTCTGCTGTTGTTTGCGACGATATGGTCGACAAGTCGGGCAGGTCAACTAAGACTTGGGCGCAATGCCGGTCCATTGGGGCTGTATGTTGGTGTCTGGATTTTGGACGGACCGGCGCAAGCGAGTGGAGTCTCCATTGTTTCTCCCGTCACCCCGCGATTTCTGTCCGGACAGAGATCGTGGATCCCGGTTCGAAGATTGTGTCGCCCACCAATGATGGATTTCAGATATTGCTTTTTCCACGTCGTCTTCTTCGCATTTTCTATTTTCCAAGTCGTCGGTACGAGAGTCAGAACGAGAAACATTCGCTTCAATCGTAACTCGTGCACTGGGGCACTACACCGTTCCCGGTTCCCCCGATGAAGGATCTGGACAATGGTGTTAAGAAGACGTCAACAGTAACCCAAAGGAGCAGGAGACTCGGACTACTCTCGGTGGGCCATGGCTGGCCATTGTCGACAGTCCCCCATCCTCAAAGGGATTGGTTGGGAACCCCGGGCATCTTTTCCGCTGGAGCCGTGGATGGATCTGGGCGCCCGACGACAACACACACGATCTGGTCCGAAAAGCTTGGGGAGTCTGGATGCGGCAGTCCTATGAGTAAACGATTACTCTTCTACCCGTGTTACGGCCATCAGATCTGCCCAGGGCCTGTGTCCCGCCCAGTGAACATGTGAACCTGGCATAGGTGGTTCTCCTCGCCCTAGCAGATCTGTAACGAGGATCTCGCACTTCGTCTGGACGTTGCAGAGCACCGGCTTGAAAGACAACAGGCCAAAGCATGGAAAGCTCGTGCTCTGCGTCGCTAGCCTTCGAATGCTTCCCCTGTAGACTCTTTGGGTTTTGAGTATGTTCGTGCACTACATTGGTTTCCCTCGTGCCTGCGTGTTGCATTGGTGTCAAATAAGGCCATGGGGCGACAGGCGAAATAAGCCTGAGGAGAGTTTCGGGTTCCTGACAGTCTTATCCCATCTTCAGAAACATCAACATAACACCCTCACACACTAATCTGATGGTCCTGGGAGGCTGAGAGTGCGAAAAACACAAAGCGGTGACGAAGCCAACCGTACGTCTTGTAATGCTGCGAGGTCGTAACCAATCCAGCCGCTTTTTGTTTTTTGTTGCCTGCCGTACCCCTAGACGAATCTGTTTCCCACACGCGTATGGGGTGCTGCTGAAACATTGCACGTCTATCTTTCTATATCGCGCTTGAGTTGAGGAAAATGAGGGGATTTCAGATGCCCAGAGAAGGGGCGCCGTGGCGGGGACCGCAGACTAGCCTGTCCCTGCGAGGAAGGGGAACTGAACCGGTGAGGGCACCATCGGTGGGTACGTATCGGAACTGACACAGCCTCGACCGACTGATGATGCGGCTGACTGCAGGCGAACTGAAAGATGGTTGTAGGTAATTAGTTGGTTGGTCTAGATTAGTGGCAATGGCACTGACGGTTGGAAATTTGACAGGCAGCGTCTGGGTGCGTTTCCTCTGCTCTGTTACGGCGCGTGTGCCATTTGATCCTTTCCATTCCCTCGCTCCCGTTCCCGTTTCCCCCGCGAGACGCCCAGATCTGGAGACGGAAGGAATGCGAACGGTGCGTGCGGTTGGGAATGTGTCACATTGCGAAATAATAGCGTCCTGTCTTCTGGAGCGGTGACGGCGGGGGAGGGCACCCGTGGAGGCCGCGGTCAAGTTAGCGAATGCACTAGCCTTGGCCGAGTCCAGCAGGCGTGAAGATACTCGGAATGGTATTTGTATGAATCGATGTTTTATCAATTGGTGCGCACTCGGATACTTTGATTTCGAGGAGCATGCGATGAGATGGCGAATAATGGTGCAAGTGCAAAATAGATGAATGGAGGAGGAAGCATTGGGGAAACACTGGAATTGAGGAACTTGAGGGACTCCAGATTGGGAAAGGAGACGGGAAGGAAGACCTGGAGAAAGTGGTTCTTTCCTCTTCCAACGTCATGGTTGCCCCTTCTCTTTAAGTCTGAGGTGCGCCTTCCCGACAATCTCAGGTACTCGCATTGCTTTCCACTAGACGGACTGTACTTCGCGACAAGTATCGTTGTCAGGGAATGAGAAAGAAGGAATCAGTCAAACTTGCAACAAGAGGCATAGGGCCGCGAGAGTACCTTAACTGAGGAACACCGAGGGAAACTACAGCAACCACCCCGTTCCCACAAACTATTCAGTCGCGGCGGTTGCAACTCCGGCCAACATCTCGAATGCCCGATTGTTGATTCTGCTCGCCAGCCAGTCTCGATTTGAAATAGGTACTTCGGATCGGTCCTACTCTCTGTTTTTCTAAGCAGCTAACCCACGACCGAGAAGCAACATCAAACATCAAGGATGACGACCAGGACAGCAGCTGGAACTTGGTGACCAAGAAGAAGATAAAAGAGAGCAAGCTTGTGACACCCTCCACAACATCCTCGACCCTTGATCGGCTTCGCCCTTTGCTGCCGATATCCGCCGCCGCCGTGTCTATCGCCATCGCCGCCGCCTCCGCCGTAGCAGCTTTGTCAAGGAGGGCCTGATAGACGAAACAGCCCGCACAACTCGACTAATACCGACCGCTCGGAAATTCGACGGGAGACGACGTGATTGCCGGGTACATCGTCATAGCACCACCCTGTCTAGTCTTGTCTACATACGTGCCCACCTCGATTACCTTACCGTAAGGTAGGTACTCACGTACTGTTCCTAGAGGTACATTCCTGCCTGGAAGAGCGTGAGGGTAACCATCGAGACACGAGACGACCAAACGCCGCTTCGGCAGCGAAGCACCGCTCTCCCCTACCGACCGACCTTCCTTAGGTAACCATACCTTACCGATACTCGGGAACGGATACAATCATCTACCAGCAGCAAACTCACATGATCTTCCCTACCGACGACAGAGAAGATCTGTTCGCACACGTACCTGGCAAATTCCGCGACTCTTTCGCCTCCAGCACAACTTGGAAGTTGGAACGGAATCATTGCCGAGCCATCCAGCCCAGCCCGTCCACTCAACCTACCTACCTTGCCTAGTCTGGATTACTAGGTAGTGTGGTAGTATAGTCAGTCAGCCAGTCCACTCGCCCGGCCTCAGCAAAGCAGCGTCCCCAGCCTGCCCAGCCGAGCCCAGCACTGGAAACTGGAGACTGGAGACTGGAGACTGGAGTGCAGGTGGAAAAGAGAGACAACGCCCACGGCCCACGGCCCACGAGCCACGCCTTCCAAGTTCCGCCAAGCCATCTCCCCATTCGACATTCCCGTCAGGTCCTCTCTCCCACGTCTCCTTCTCCAACTCTCGGCCCCGGGTCTCCATTTTATCCTTCCTTTTTCCCACCTCGCTGGTTGGGCTTGAACTTGGACTGGTCGAACGCCCACGCTTTGGATGCACTGATCACCCGCCTTTACCACCCGCTTCCGCCTTCAGCGTTCCCGTCCAACATCCTGAACGACCCCCCCAAATCCTGGCAACTGCCACAACACCGGCCTTGCTACCCACGCCAACTGGTACCATCCCGACTGGCGTCTCTGCGTCGCTGTGCCTCTGCGTCTGACCGTCTCACCCGAAGACTGCAATTCATCCCCCCGATTCTCTTCCGCGAAACACTGAGATCCCACTCGTCGAAATATCCTCAACTTTTTCGCAGACTGCCGCATGCATTGAGCCACTGTATCCGATTCGGTTCCAATCTCAATCACCACGAGCCCGCGCTCCTCGAGGCTCGACGCTGCCGTTGCTCTTGCCTGTGATCCGCAATGGCCGATACCAAACCCGCCGACGCCAACACGACCGTCGGCCAATCACCCAAGGACTCTTCGGCGGCGCCAAAGGATACCATTCCAATGAAGACCCTCCCTCAATCCTCGTCGACGGAAGCCGACGCCGCCGCAGCAGACACAACGAGGCCGAAGACTACTTCATCAAGCAAGACACCCGGCGATGCGGCATCAACACAGCCTGAAGCCAGCACGTCGGCCGTGGGCGATGCCGACGATTCAATCGAGCCGTCAACCAAAGGAAAGGAGAAGGACTCGCTTTCGTCGCCAGCGACCAAGACTCAGGATGACTCCATGGCCATCGGTCCCTCTGTCGATGACGTCCAGCCCGTCACCAACTCTCCAGCAGATGGCCCAGTCTGCAACATCACCCTGTTGCTCACTACTGGTGCAAGACACCCTTACAAATTGGACGAAAAGTACTTGACAAAGAGAAACGTCAATGTTCCTGGATTGACCGAGGCCGGAAAGAAGGACCCCTTCACCATCAGTGTTTATACCTTGAAGGAACTCATCCTCAGGGAGTGGCGTGAAGAATGGGATGCCAAGCCTGCGAGCCCCAGCAGTATACGTTTGATTCATTTCGGAAAGCTGCTGGACGATAAGGACCAATTGAAACGTAGGTTTTCCCTGATATCTACGTTTCCCTTGATTCATCTAACCTTGTTCCAGAATACCACTTCAGTGCTGAGGCAGCCAACGTTGTACACATGACCGTCCGGCCAGCCGATATCGTTGAGGAAGAAGAACCTAAGGGAGGCAATAAGTCAACCTCTGGCGGCGGCCGCAACCGAGAAGGTGGCGGTGGATGCTGTGTTATCTTATGATCGAGCGGTCCCAAGATCTGGGCCCTTTTCTTCTGCGATCATCACTCCTTTCCTTTAACATCTCGCCCCCGCCGAACAAGAGCCATTCCTTTCTAGTGGGGAGAATGACATGCATGGAAGAAGAGCAGGCGAGAAAAGACTCCATTGGGTCAATCTGGCTTGAGTGCTCTGCATAGTACGGTACACGATACAAAGAGGCAGGGGCCTAGCCGGGGTCATGGTTTCGACAATGCATGCAATTCCAGAAGTGCCCAGAACGGATGGGCTAGTCGGCCTGGTGAGGCCTTCGGTAACGGTGTTGCGATGGGTCTTTTATCTTTTCTCATGTCTCGCGTGTCTCTCTCCATGGAGGCCACCCCGACATCCATCGAGCGTATTACAAAGAGCGAAGACAATAAGGGGACATTCGGAGTACAACGGCGTATCATAGCTTTGTGTATTTGTTCTGGTTGATTCTTCTCCACGCCCCGTCTATGGGTGTTGTCCATAGGATAGTAGAACGCATTCTATTCCATCTTTCCGTTGAACCTGGACGCTTCGGTGAATTCCTTCTATGGCCTTGACATTTCCTTTGCCGCGCCGTCCTGAGGTCATGACGCATATCGTAGTAATACAATTCCAACCCTGGTCCTCCTGTCGCATCCCTCTGATCCAGGAGCCCAGGTCCGCTCTCGGTCATTCCAACCCCGTCATATCTCTCAAGCTTTCTCTCTATCACTCTCAAATCTTGAGCTTCCTCTCCATCTCGTCGTGCATACCAACGATGCCCACGCTCTCCTCGCCGGAGTAGACGTCCTCCCACGTGACGCTGGAGTCCTTGCCGCGGAGGATCTCCTCGTGGACGGAGGCCTTTTGTCCGCCGAGGGCGAGGGGCCGCCACTCGCCGTTTTGCGTAATCTTGAGCTCCATCTGGCGGCGGATGGGTTCGGCGAGGCCAAAGGTGCGGCGGAGCGTCTCCATGCGCATGCCTTCCTGGGTGGCCTCCCAGTTCTTAAGGCGGGACTCGAGAGGGTGGGCGGAGGCGGCGACGTTTTCTTTGGCGTCGTAGGCGGACTGGCCTACGCCGGCGCGGAGGGTGTCGTGGACGCCCGGTGCCGAGGGGGCGTTGGCGCCTGCGGCGAAGGTTGTGGGTTGGTTTGCGGCGGGGACGATTCGCATCTGGAGGGGGACGATGTTAGTTTGGGAGGGGGTTCCGTGACGGAGGGAAGGTGGATTGGAGGTGGGAGACGACATACCGACATCTTGAAGGTTCTTCGGGGTGGACTGTGGTTGTTGGGAGGAGAGGTTTCGTTTGGGGGATCGTGTTGATTGAGATGGAGCTGAACGGGCTGGGTGACGATTATGGGAGCTTGCGCTGCGTTGATGTGCCTGGAGCTCTCCGGCGTGCCTGCTGGCTGCTGCTACCCAGTCGTGCCAGTCGGTCCCGCCATTACCTCAGCGAGATGGATTGCACGTGACTTCCAGGCTGAAATGCAGACGCGGTAACCTCAATCCTTAGCGTACCTGATCCCTGTCGGTATTTTCTTTCCGCTCCCCGGACACGGATCCACATTACGGGTGGGGCGATGACGGCCGAGCTTCGACACCGAGATCGCAGCTGGTTTTACGTACTTGTACCCAAAAGTCCGGGGAAAGCTGCCCCGGATTTTTCGTTTTTCGAGGAGAAGGAAGAGTCACAATGTGAAAGTCATCCCACGACTATCCCAACGACGCGATATTAAGGGTAACGGTGGTCAATTGGCGTTGATTCCACTCGCTCAGACAGTGATTCGCTCAATCTCTCCCATTGAAGCAGGCACACATACACACTCGTACAATCACAATGAGGATACCGAATCGTTCTCCCCCGATCCTAAGGATCGCCAACGGCTCCTTTTACCGGCGCCACCCTAACACGCACACCACGCACCCGAACCCGCCCCTCTTCACAGACCTGAACCTCGAGCTGTCCTCCGCCACCGCCGCCGACAAGAACAAGAACCACTGGTGCATCGTCGGCCCCTCGCTCTCGGGCAAGACGACGCTGCTGCAGGTCCTCCGCGGCCAGCACCTCGCGATCCCGCCCACGGCGCGAACGTACCCGTACCTTTCCACCGAGGCCGTCTCGCCACGCCTGCGGAGTGCCAATAGGGCGATACAATATGTCGGCTTCGACGGTGACGGCGGGTTGGGCGGCGGGCATACTACCAGTGCGTACCTCGCCGCGCGGTACGAGTCGAGGAGGGAGAATACGGATTTCTCGCTGCGGGATTACTTGCTCGGCAACACGGAGCTGAATCCGCTCGATACCTTACCGGGGGAGGAGAACCTAATGCCGCCGGAGCTCGTGGAGAGGGTCGTGAAGGACCTGAGGCTGGAGCCGCTGCTGGATCTCCCCGTCGCGTTCCTGAGTAACGGCCAAGGACGGCGCGCGCGCATCGCGAGGGCGCTGTTGGCCACGCCGGAGGTGCTGCTGCTGGATGAGCCGTTCATGGGGCTTGATCCCCCGACCGTGGCCGGGTTGAGTCCCGTGTTGGAGGGGATTGCGGAGCGGGCGAGTCCGAGGCTGGTGCTGAGTGCTCGGCCGCAGGATGCGTTGCCCGACTGGATTACGCATTTGTTGTATTTGCGTGGGGACTGTCAGGTTGGGTCGATGGGGCCTAAGGAGGAGGTGTTGGAGGGGTTGAGGACGTATGTGAGGGGCGTGTGGAAGGGTGGGTTGAAGGAGGATGAGAGGTTGCCTGTGCATTCGCTTGTGGAGATGGGAAAGGTTTTGACTGCGAGGGGGGTGGAGGGGGATGGGCTCTTCTCGGCTGGAGAGAAGGATTCGCATGCTGTCGAGTCTGCTTCTTCTTCTGCTGCTGAGGCGTCGTCCTCGACTGCTGGGGAGACGGCTGTGGGTGAACCGCTGATTGAGATGGACGGGTGTCAGGTGCGGTACGGGAACAAGATCGCGCTGGGCAACTGGTCTCAGGAGACGCCGTCCGGGCCCAAGGACGGGCTGATCTGGACTGTCCGGCGAGGGGAGCGATGGGGCGTCTTTGGGCCGAACGGGTCTGGCAAGACGACCGTTGTGTCTCTCTTGTGCTCCGATCACCCGCAGACATACTCCCTCCCCATCAAGCTGTTTGGCCGGAGCAGGCTACCCGAGCCCGGGTCTGGGCAGCGGCCTGTCACGTTCTGGGATATACAGTCACGGATAGGGCACTCGAGTCCCGAGGTGCACCAGCACATGCCCCGCGGCTTGACTGTTCGACAGGTGTTGGAGAATGCCTGGGCGGATACGTTCAAGGGTATTCCTGTATTGGATGATGAGGCACGGGGAAAGGTTGAGGCGACGTTGCGGTGGTTCACGCCGGAGTTGAACCCGGGATATCAAAAGGCTCCATCGTCTTCTGTCACGGATGACGGAGGTGACGTCTCTTGGTCGGATAACTACCTCTTTGGCGGTCTCTCCTTCAGCGCCCAGCGCATCGCGTTGCTCCTGCGCGCTGTGATCAAGAATGCCGACGTGGTGGTGCTCGACGAGGCATTTAGCGGAATGGACGATGCTGTCAGAGACAAGTGTATGCTCTTCCTCGCTAAAGGAGAAGAGAAGACGTATAGCGGGGAGCGCATCGTGGACAGTGAGGTAGCCAAGGCAGGCCAAGTGCGGGTCAGGGGGTTGAGTGAGAGGCAAGCGTTGATCTGTATCAGTCACATCAAGGAGGAAGTGCCGGATTGTGTGCGAGAGTGGATTTGTTTGCCCGAGGCCAACGAAGGGTTGCCGGCGCGGTTTGGGCGGTTTGATGGGCCTTTGAGGACGGATGAGAAGCGGTGGAGGGCTCTTTGGGGTGTGTGATACCTCTGGACCCAATGTTTTTTCGTGGCAGTTCACATGAAGGAGAACAAGTTGGTCCCAAAGGACAACAGGACTGAGAGAACGAGGGCAAGAGAAGCGAATAGACTTTTGGTGGATATAGAAGTAGGTAGGTGATTGTTTACCCCAGAGGTGAGCTGCACATCATCCATGTGGGATAGATATCTCAGACGTTGGGTACCAAAGTGTATCCGTAGAAAGAGCCGCATGTGGAAAAGATAGACGTTGAATACCAAAAGCAAATCATCCAAGCCCTCCTCCACCGTGGGCCTGTCAAAGCTACCTTGCTACATTGCCATTACCGTTTGGCGCAAAGATCGTGCTGTGGCCATGGGTGCAAGAGTTGACAGATTTGGCGGAGTGATGAGGTCCATGTGCAGGTGAGTGACGACCCACGGTACTTTGTACCTTACCTAAGGTGAGGTAATCAATCCATTTTGGGCGACAGGTTCAGGAACGGCCAGCGGGCCCCGGGGGCGCTAAGAAGGTGCTAACCGCTACGAGGTCCCACGAACAGGCTCAGCCCCCCTGCGCTGTACCTCGCCGGCCCGCTTTTCGCAGGCGGGACACCACACGAATCCCCTGCAGTCGTGTCCCGTTGCCCCGTCAACGCGATCCAAGTCTCCGATCCGCCCTGTTGCCCCTCAACACACTCGCGGATGCGCTGGGAGCGAAAGAGACGCTAAGGTGCTGCGTACCCGAGAGGTGAGAAAGAGAATGGCGCAGGTTACAGGCGCAGAGTGATTGCCCATCCACGTTTTTTTCTGACTCCCCCCAGCCTCCCCAACACTTGACCCTCCTTCCCGCAGCTTTGCCCAGATGCTTTACCTCCCTTGCTGCTACTGCTCTCTCGCACATTGCTCCCTCTCATATCATCTCTCGAGATCCATCCCACTTTACCAAAAAGCTAGTCTTTAGCATAACCACTACCACCATCACCAACCTTGCCGTTTGGGATTCCCATTGAGAATTTCCAACGGCGCTACCCTTTGTCGAGTTTCGACACTTACACCCTCACACCTACGTCTTGGACCCTCATTCCAGTCGTCGAGACACTCAAGGACCCGAATTGACGCCACGAGGCCGACCTGAGCTACGTCAATCCCTCGCCCACACAATCCCATCGTGGCGCCGGCCCGTTGCAAACAAAGAACACCCTTACGAGACCCGGCCCTTGAACAACAATCCAGTACAGCATTCCTCTAACCGTTTCGTCCCGGTAACCGGCGGCGCAAACAACATCTCATCATGGACCCAAATACCCCCTCGCGACCGCCCGACTACAGCCTCCCACCCTACGACGACCGCGACGACGACACTCCCACGGGACGCTCCAACAATCCCGCCGCCATTCGATTACTGACTTCAGTCGAGGAGCCCATCATGGACAGAGCACCGTACGTAACTCCCACCGCGCCCCAGCAGTCGACTTCGGCTTCGACACCAGTCAGCGGCGCCAAGAGCGCATCGCGACCTTTTCATTGTGCTCCTTTTTCTACTGCTGCTACTACTCCTGTTTCCGCTTCTTCCATTCCTCGTCTTCGACAGGTTCACAAGACACCCGAGTCGTCGCCCAGCCTCTTCCCACGCCCTCTATCGCTGCGCAGGAAGAAGTCGGACGCTGCAGGCCCGGTGATCTCTACGCCGGACCACCTCGACGCATTGAGGCAGCAGGAGGAAGGAAATCCAACTTCACCCTTGTCCCCAGCACCCGTATACACACCGCGCTTAAGTGGCGTGGGCGTTGTCGACTTTGCAGACGCTCAGCGTACCTCTCGAATACCGGTGCGGTCTTCTACTGTAAAGTTGCAGAAAAGGACCAGGCCCAACTCCATCAGAGAGTCGCAAATTCGGGACAGTCTCCCCACCATACCAGAGGGCCCTTCGCTGCGGAAGAGTCAACTACACCAGTCCTCCATTTGTCCCGTTCCTCCATTGTCAGATGATTCTACCAATAACGCAAGCACAAGCTCACATGAGGAAACCAACAGGCCCCGATCCAGCAGACGATCCTATGCGTCGTCCATCTTGTCCGACCGCTCCGCGTCCATTCGAGACCCCCCGAGCATGCCGCCGCCCGACTCAACCTACGTTCCCTTCCAAGGCCGCGATTACGCCCGCGAGTACGAGCGCACCTACGAGCAGGAGTATCAGGACGACTACCCGTACGAGTACCAATCAGGACGTCATTCACCAACAAGGACATATAGCCCTTCCCGCCTCTCGTCGGACTTTACAAGACCTCCGGCCTCGGGCATTTATGAGCCATCAGACCTCAATGGCAGCCCCAGACCGGGAACTCCGTCTTCAAGATATGGTGGTAGCCCCCGACGACCGCTTCCGCCTGCGCCGTTGTTCTCGACTGGTGCGAACCGTAACTCTGCCGCTTTTGCCGATGACGCCACAGTATCGATCCCTCTCCACGATAACGACGACGTATTCGGACCCGAGACCGACATCAGTGAGAGCCAGCCGATGAGAGAATCGTACATGTCCCACGACCAGGTTACGCTGAGCGAGGAAGATGCAGAGACCGACATCAATGAGAAAGTAGAGCATTACGGCCCGGCTCCGGATGGAATGCAAGAGCGCCGAGGTGTTCGCGCACCGCAGATGTCGAGAAAGGAGGTCCAGCTTATCAACGGAGAGCTGGTCTTGGAGTGCAAAATTCCTACGATTCTTTACAGTTTCTTGCCTCGCCGCGACGAGGTCGAGTTCACCCACATGAGATATACAGCCGTCACCTGCGACCCCGATGACTTTGTCGAACGCGGATACAAGCTTCGCCAGTCAATTGGCAAAACTGCTCGCGAAACGGAATTGTTCATCTGTGTCACCATGTACAACGAGGACGAGTTTGGCTTCACGAGAACCATGTACGCCGTCATGAAGAACATCTCTCACTTCTGCGCTCGTTCTAAATCGCGCACATGGGGTGATAATGGTTGGCAAAAGATTGTTGTCTGCATTGTGTCCGACGGCAGAGAAAAGATCCATCCTCGCACGCTCGACGCATTGGCGGCAATGGGTGTCTACCAGCACGGCATCGCCAAGAACTACGTCAACCAGAAGGCAGTGCAGGCCCACGTCTACGAGTACACAACACAAGTCTCGCTCGATTCCGATCTCAAGTTCAAGGGTGCCGAAAAGGGTATCGTGCCCTGCCAGTTGATCTTCTGTCTGAAGGAGAAGAACCAGAGGAAGCTCAACTCACACCGTTGGTTCTTCAATGCTTTCGGCAAGGCTCTGAACCCCAACGTGTGCATCTTGCTCGATGTTGGTACCAGACCCGGCGGTACATCTTTGTACCACCTCTGGAAGGCTTTTGACAACGACTCCAACGTTGCCGGTGCTTGCGGAGAGATCAAGGCCATGAAGGGCAAGTTTGGAGTGAACCTCCTGAACCCCCTTGTCGCTTCTCAGAACTTTGAGTACAAGATGTCCAACATTCTCGACAAGCCTCTTGAATCCATCTTCGGGTACATTACCGTCTTGCCCGGTGCACTCAGTGCCTACCGATACCACGCTCTGCAGAACGACGAGACGGGCCATGGTCCTCTCAGTCAGTACTTCAAGGGAGAGACGCTGCACGGTCAGCATGCAGACGTGTTCACGGCAAACATGTACCTCGCCGAGGATCGTATCCTCTGCTGGGAGCTTGTCGCCAAGCGTGGTGAAAGCTGGGTTTTGAAATACGTGAAGGGATGTCACGGTGAAACCGATGTGCCAGGTAAGAGATCTGCTCTCATCATAGCTTACAATTACTGACATAGTCTACAGATACTGTTCCTGAGTTCATCTCGCAGAGACGTCGTTGGCTGAATGGTGCCTTCTTCGCTGCTGTGTACTCTCTCGTTCACTTCAAGCAGATTTGGTACACTGATCACACCATCACTCGCAAGATCCTCCTTCACATTGAATTTATCTACCAGTTCCTGCAGCTCATCTTCACCTACTTCTCCCTGGCAAACTTCTACCTGACCTTCTACTTCGTCGCAGGCGGTCTAGGCGATCCCCTGGTAGATCCCTTCGGTCACAGCATTGGTCAATACATCTTCACGGTCCTACGATACACTTGTGTCTTGCTCATATGTGCGCAATTCATCCTATCGCTCGGTAATCGACCGCAAGGAGCAAAGAAACTGTACCTCTTCAGTATCGTCGTGTATTGTATCATCATGATCTACACGACATTTGCCACCTTCTACATCGTCATCCGTCAGCTAAAGGAGAAGGACAATCCGGAGATTCACATGGGCGAAAACGTCTTTACCAACTTCATTGTCTCGATTCTCTCGACTATCGGCTTGTACTTCGTCATGTCCTTCTTGTACCTGGATCCCTGGCACTTGTTCACTAGTGCGGCTCAGTACTTCATGCTTCTGCCTGCGTACATCTGCACTCTGCAAGTATACGCCTTCTGCAACACGCACGACGTTACCTGGGGTACCAAGGGAGACAACGTTATGAAGACTGATCTGGGTGGCGCTATTGGAAAGGGCAACAGTGTCGAGCTTGAAATGCCATCCGAGCAGCTTGATATCGATTCTGGCTACGACGAGGCGCTTCGCAACCTCCGTGATCGCGTCGAGGTTCCCCCCTCGCCCATCTCCGAGGCGCAGCTGCAGGAAGACTACTATAAGAGCGTGCGTACCTACATGGTGCTCTCGTGGCTTATCTGCAACGCCATTCTCGCCATGGCCGTGTCTGAGGCGTATAGCGAACGCGGCATTGGTGAAAACTACTACCTTGCCTTCATTCTCTGGTCTGTGGCGATTCTGGCTCTCTTCCGCGCCATCGGCTCTACCACGTTTGCTGTTCTCAACGTCATCAGCATGATTGTCGACGGCCAGGTGCGCATGAGTCTCAAGGTGCCCAAGTGGATGGGCGGATTCGGCGAAAAGGTCAGCGAGAAGATGAGCAGCGTGTCGAGTAGTGTTGGAAGCAGCGTCGGCGGAAGCAAGCTCAGCAGTGTGTTCAAGCGTTGATCCTCACTCAATCACCATCGGTGCCGATTGTTGGCGCTTGCTTCTTGCACTCTTGCTTTTGCTTCATAGACACAGCGATGGCCTTCCTTCTGCTATTCCTTGACGACTGTCACGAGTTGACTTGCAGCTTTTTTGAGGCGTTTTATTGGTCGACGTTTTGCTTGCATTCTCCTTCATCTCCTATTGCGAAAAAAGTTGCAAGGAGGTAAGTTTGGGGATTCATTAAATGTTTTTTGTTCTTCAGAGATATCACATGGGTTTTTGCGTTTTTTGCGTCCTAACGAGACGAAATGAGATGAGAGCTGAGGAAATGCTTTTTGCTGTAATGAATGCTAGGTGGAATGTCGTGTACGTATTGGATCCCAATGTTCGGGGGTCGGGAATCATGAAGAAATGGCGGGGGATGCTGATGCAGGATATGTCGTAAGCGGCATGAGCATGAAGAGATGCGAAAGGAAAGATTGAAAGAGTCATGTGTAGATAGATGAGAATTAGCACGAACAAAAAAGAATGATAGGAATGATGTCTCGAGGGCGAAGTCGGCCTGAGATGGACGTTGTTTCTTCTTTTCATGACAAAAAATTGTTTCCGTCAGGTCCCTGTTCATTAGTGAATGCCGTTTTAATGAAGCTTTACCACTGAATGACCCGCTCATCCAGAGTACTAGACTTCATGCTGCTTTGGCAGCGCGATCAGTCATGACCAACATAGACCTTCGATAGACGTTTTCACCGGCTCGCTCATACCTGAGGTCTACAGCAACACCATTATTTCACCGTTCACGATTGATTTGGGCTCGATGAAGCGGTTCTCGCGCAGCAGGGCTCTAGGAACGCTTACATCCGCCAACTCTTAGCCTCTCCGACGCGCTCGGGGCTGGCGAGACACTCCTCGAGGGCCGTCTAGTCGTAGGATGGATTCACCCAGTAAGTAGAGGATCATGTGTAGGACGGTGATCTGTCGCATTATGGTGAGGAAGTTTCCAGGAGAAGGGGCAACCTTCCGTCATCTCGCGCAAGACGGACTGTCATGAGGGGTTTTCTTGTGCCCTGGAATCTGTGTAGGACCATATTCCCGCCGGCGATGAGAGATAGCTTTGGTTGGTTGAGGTAGTGGCTGAGTGGACCACTGGTCGTCTTGTCGTGGCATTGCCATGGTAGAGGTCTGAGGGCTGAGATGGGCTAGGCCGGGTCATCTGAGGTGTGTTGGATTCTGAAGCTGGATGGAAGAGGTGTACCGCTTAGAGTGCAGAGGTTGAGAGTACCAAGGCGAAGAATACGGCTTGACCTCCTCAGGCTGGGTCAAGGGTCGTAACTCTTTGATCTAAGACCTATGCCATCCATCCTCAGTAGATCATGTTTAGGGGCATTCTGATGTCGACTGGAGGTTGGGGCCATCGTCATAGCCGAGTGTGATGGACGTAGGTGGTGTTCAGGCTTGGCTGAACTCGAGAGATAGCACCGTCGATTACCTTACGGGATGGGGGCCTACGGCATCGCCTCCATGCAGCTGAGTACTTGAATGGCCTGACCCCAGTCTGTTTCTTCTGATAGTCGTACCTGTGTCGAGAATCAGTTTCATTAGAGGGAAATACGTGATGGCAATCTCTGCATGTCGCCTCCCTATCGCCGCCAAGTTTCGGCATGTGGAGTAGCAGAATCCACTCGTGCCTCGCAGACAACTTGCCACTCAGACTCAGATTTATCTACTCGTACCATCATGAGTTTGTAATAAGGTAGTTTTACGTACTGTGACTGTTTTACTAAGGAACCTCATCCGAAGCCTTGCAGAGTCAATTATACTTACCTCCGAAGATTCTCACTAGCTTTGAACTGAAGGCCTTCACAAGATGAATTTTCAATAAGGACTTACATTGCAAGTACCCTGCTGTTCACCGCCTCAGACTGATCTTTGGGCTTGACGGAATTGCATGTGGCTTGAAGTAGGAGGAATCAACCGTGGCTGCTTGTGGCTTGCTGGCGATCACACATCACATATCGCGATGGACCTGCGGCCGCATCCATGAACGCGTAGCAGCTCATGGTCTGGAACAGGGGCCAAAGTCCAAGTATGCAGTACTGCTTGGCAAATGCTATGCTCCACCAAGATGGAAATGTGTCTCGAGTCTTGGTGTGTGATGTGTAGTGAGGCTGAGACCAAGAGACTAGCTTGGAGCTGAAGCTCTCACCAGCGACTGTGATGAGGTATGAGGATACGAAGCCTGAGCGTCTACTTCAGGCATTCATCTCAGTCACTATTTTGCACATATTACTGCTTGTTTTTATACTTTCCCCGCATGTTCTATCACCATCAACTCGTTCCTTTTAGAGGAACAGACGCTGTTATTCGAACCAGCCACTCCTGAATGTCTTTCAAAACCTTTCGCAACCTAGTATGAAGAATCTCGCACAGATGAAGCGACTTGAAGTATTCGAAGGCGCAGCAAGCCCCCTCAGTCTCCAGAATGATTGCCTTTCCACTCCTCATGCCGAGTCCTCGAACGCAGTATGATGCATCTTTGGCACACCGCTCAGCCTCGACACTCTGATTTGATCTTTCACATGGCAATGTTTGAGTTGAGATGTGATGAAAGCCAGAGCTGGAGTAAAGTGGCTGGCTGGAGGCTGATCATGCACGCGACGGGCCTACCCGAGATGGCGAATGTGAGACAGAGACGGCTGAGGCGTGCTGGAAGCCAGTATCAACGGCATCCCACATCTGCCAACGTACACTATTGAGGTACTCATAGTTGCCACTTGGAAAGGAATCATGAAGTTAGTATCATCCAAATTTTGACATAAAAGCTGGTTGTGTTCACTTCTCCCAGTCCTTCCAAGCATCCAGTCCTCAAGCTGTTCAGATCATCACGATTTCCCTGTCTTTTCAACCTTCATACAAACATCCACCTCATCTACTTACATTATTGAAGCATCTGCTCCATCTTACAACATGTCTTCCGACGGAACCAAAGGCCCTGTAATTATCAAAGGCATCCAAGATGGCTTCGAAGGAAGTGCGCCTTCCTCTAACCCAGTCTTGGTAATCTAGAATGCTTACAATCTCAAGAGGAACCGCCCGTTCGACTGGAGTTGCGTGACATGGCCAAACATCAACCGGATCAATTCACCCTGTTCCTCTTGGGGCTTGAGCGGTTCAAAAACGTCGCCGAGGATCAGCCGCTTTCCTACTTCCAGATAGCTGGTATGTGAGCACTTTCTATTGATCCGAACTTTCGAGCTCGAGTTCACATCTCGCCAGGCATCCATGGGAGACCTGCCCTGAAGTGGCCAAACCAAGATTGGAACCTTGTCGGAGAGAACTTCGATCCCAAGCGAGGGTATGGAGGATACTGTACGCACAGTTCAATCTTGTTCCTCACGTGGCATCGTGTCTATCTCGCTCTCTTTGAGGTAAGAACATGCACAGCTGAAGATTGTGACACCTATCGCCGAAGCTAAGACTCAGACTCCAGACCGAGCTTTACAAACACGTTGACTTCATTGCCAAAGAGTTTGGAAAGGATGGAGAGACGAAGTACGCCAAGGCCGCCAAATCATTCCGAATGCCGTACTGGGATTGGGCTCGACCTGAACTTCCACTGTTTCCAGACGAAGCTCTCTCTGCAACTAGACACACCGTGGTGAGACCTAAGAGTCAGCAAGGAGACCCTGATAAATACCCCGAGGAGATCAATCCCCTAAGTTCATACGAATTTGGGGCATACTCCAAAGCTCAGAGAGATAAGAATGACCCCGACTATGTCCGAATCCTTCGAGTAAGATCCACGCATCACCTCCCCAAGCTTTAGCTTACTCTCCTAGAAAAATGTGAAAACGCTGCGAATGTTTGGTAACATCGACGATCCCAAAGCCAAAGCGGAAGCTATCCGCATATTCACCAGACAGGACATCGGCATCAAGGGTATGAACGTGTCTGAGAGAGTCCTGTTCCTTCTCCAGGCGTACACGGACTTTGGAGCCGTGTCAAACAACGGCGAGTTCGGTTCTGATGATAATCCGTTCAACAATTGGGGTAGCATTGAGGATGTTCACAATGCCGTTCACGGATACATTGGAGGAGGGTACATGGGCAGCCCAGCTTTCGCTGCCTTTGACCCCATATTCTGGCTTCACCACACCAACATCGATCGACTATTCGCCATTTGGCAAGTATGCAACCCTGGAAAATGGGTCACGCCGCAGAAGTCAGTTTTTCCGACCATAGTCCGGCCAGAAAAATCGGATGAGGACACTGATACCGCCTTACCTCCATTCGCTCGCTCGATAGGTGCAAATGGCAAGCAGGAGTTTTGGACTTCGAACGGAACGGAAAACACCAAAGATTTTGGTTACATCTACCCAGAGACTCGGAGCGTCTTTAACTCCAGGGAGGCTATCATCAATGAGGTGGATCGAATCTACTTGAAGCGGGCCTCCTTCGCCAACATCTTGCGAAGCAACCCAGCGGACGTCGACACTTTGAATGTGCTTCGAGACCGCGCGAAGACCCACCTGAAGTCCTCTCCCGATGATAATCCTCAGCTTCCACAGGGTCGTGATCTTCGTATCTTGGCAGCCAACGATAAATATCTCGAGTGGCTTGTTAACATCAGGGCCGACAAAGCTGAGCTGCACGGTAATTACATTGTCAACGTCTTCCTCGGCGACCCCTCGGAAGATATCCCTCCACTTCTGTACGTGAAGGATCACACCCACGTTGGATCATTCGCCACCTTTGGCCAGGACGAAGAAACTCCTTGCGCGAACTGCAAGAAGGGCCAGGAAGAGAACCAGAGAATCACCGGTCAAATCCCTCTGACAATTGCTCTGGTAGAGCGCTATTTGGCAGGACAAGTTGACGGTCTCACACCTGACCATGTGATCGACTACCTCAAGGCCAACATCCGATGGAAGATTACACTTCCCACTGGAGAGCCTAAATCACCCGAAGAGACTCAAAATCTCCTCATCTGTGTTGTATCCAACGAGGTAACCATCAATGCCAGCAGACCATTGGAGGTTCCGAAGTATTCTGACGTGGTCACTCCCTACCCGGAGATTACCAACCACATTCCTGAATCCTACGGTACCGGGTACGATGGGCACAATTTCTAGGCCGACCATGATTTTATCGCGTATATTGTCGGTGAAGGATTGGCCGAGTTGGTCAATGATTGGGTTCTCGAGAAGCCTTTTCGGATGAGGGTTCTACAATATGTCATTCGAGTTTATCGGCAGTCTTAGTATCAAAGAATCTCAGAGTGTACTCGCGACCTACTTTGTGAAATTTCTCGAGGAATTCGACTGGATTTGCTGATATGGACCTGTTGATAAGTGCAACATTCGTTGGCAAGTCGTTAGATCCTCCCTAAGTTCTATCCTATCTATATAGACCTAGGTATGATATTCATCTTGTGCTGAAGTCGTAGTAGGAGGAGCGTTGTGTGATCTACGACGAGATCTCCTGGTTCCCAACGGCTCCAGCCACGATACTTTGCTCTTCATTTAGCAAATGATAGCTTCAGTCGATGGCATCGGGATGTGGGATGTAAAGACTCCAGAACAATAGTGATTAGTCTTGAACTACTTCTTCTGGTAGATTAAAGGATAAAAATTCCGCGCAAAGGTCAAGCGTAAACTAGCTCACATGCCCACCTGTTGTTCTCAGTCTTGCCTTTTGATAGGCCAGTGGCCTCCCTTTTCATATCTCCCTTGCCCTATACCTTAATTCGGGGCAGTACTCGCCTGTTTCGTAGGCTGTAAATGACGGCCAGATTAGTATTCCTCAGCCAGATCAAGCAAAGAAGCTGGTCCGCTGAAATTCGTGATTGGCCGAACCTAGCTCGGGTTAGCCCCACTAGAACCATCGGCTCAAATCCCGGCCGTAGATTGGAGGCGCCCCCACAACGGCCTCCGAGAGACAGCGCTAGAACGGTGCTCCCGTTCTTTACTCCCACGGCAACATCCGCCACCAAAAGAAAGAAGTGGCTAGAATGTGAAGAAAGCTGGAGAAAGAAATTACACTCGGCCGTTGGATGGAGAGACAAATTCATCATCACTACCCACAACCCGTTGGCCGAATCGGTCCCGTGACGGGAGTTGGCTGTGTGCTCAGCACACTGAGCAGATTTTAGCTAGCATTCGTGGGTTTTGCCTAGCCCCCTTTCCAAGAAACCCAAAAGCTTTGTGGGGTTGTACCGAAGAAAGTGTACTACTGTGGCTTGTGGTCACTTTTTCCCCGGCGGACTTTAGATCTTTTTTTATCAACTTTGTTCAGGGGGCATAGAGCTGTGGGACCTTCATAGACATGTTTATGCTCTTTGCTGGGATGACATTGACTAGAAACGTTCAGGCGGTGCTGAATCTTAGCCTGGGGTTCACTCATGCCACTGAGGGTGTCTTGCACTGCTCCCAATGCACCCCTTATGAAATGCCCATAGATTTCACTAATGAGTTCTGGGTGGCAGATTCTTCCCCTATTTTGATTCAATCATACTGAAAGCGAGAACTCCAACGAGAAAGTGGCGTGGTACTGAGACACTGTTCTGATTGACACGTTCTCGAAGTCGGATGCCAGGCCGGGAGCTCAATGTCTTTCGTGAATCGTCAAGCCGCATTCGAATTAGACTCAACGCCGCAACACGTTTCCATCCACGTCTTGTAGAAAGACGCGTCACAAATCAGACTACACTGCATTCAAAGATTGTCCAGGACCAGTGTGACGCGGCATACCGGTGGTCAGGGTACCAAGGATCATTGGACGAACCAGCAAACAACCCTCCAAGCGTCGGGAGTTGGATCCCCACCCGAACAAGGTTTCGTCCGGACCATCAGCCCTACCATCATCTCTTCCATTCACGCTAGCAGTAACTGACGTAAACTGAACCTGTAGAAGTAGGTCTCCACGGTCGAACTGGGGTCGATGCGAGAATACGGCTCGCACGTCTGTACACTGCGCCCCGGCGCTATGAGGCGTACAGACGGACCACGTGTGGAGCCGCGTCTACTATGGCAACGCCGTCGCCGAGGACTCGGGAACCGCAGCATCGGGATCAGTTTTCAAGCTTGTTATAAAGATGTCTGCCCGGGCACGATGTTGTTGATGATTTTAGAAGGCATCACCGCCATCATTCGCTCTCTCTTCTCCCATTCACTCACTTGTCTTTCCTCCACACCGACTTGAACTTCACATTCTTCTAATATGTCTAAGTACTCCAAGGCGGCTCTCCGCGCTTTGGCGGTCAGAGCCAGCACATCTTCCCTGGCAGATGTGTGTACTGTCGAGAATGTGCAGAACGCTCTGCCTTCCAACGGCACTCTTCTCGGCATCGACCTGGTCCCCTCTTCGGTCACTGCCAGCCCGGTCTACAATGCCACCAGCGGCGGTGGTATGATGGGCGGCAGCAGCACCCCTCTCACATACTGCAACGTCACCGTGGCCTATACCCACACGGGCAAGGGCGACACCGTCAACCTCAAGTACGCCTTCCCGAGCCCCGACGTCTTCAAGAACCGCTTCTACGTTGCTGGCGGTGGCGGTTTCTCCCTCTCCTCCGACTCCACTGGCGGTATCTCTTACGGCGCTGCCGGAGGTGCCACCGATGCCGGCTACGACGCCTTCAACAACAGCTACGATGAGGTCGTCCTTTACGGAAACGGCTCCATCAACTGGGATGCTACCCACATGTTCGGGTACCAGGCCCTGGGCGAGATGACCCAGGTCGGCAAGGCCATCACCAAGGGATTCTACAGCATGGGCACCGACGACAAGGTCTACACCTACTACGAGGGCTGCTCTGACGGTGGCCGCGAGGGTATGAGCCAGGTCCAGCGCTGGGGTGAGGAGTACGACGGTGTCATCGCCGGTGCCCCGGCCTTCCGCTTCGCCCAGCAGCAGGTTCTCCACGTCTACTCGTCTGCCGTCGAGCATACCCAGGACTACTACCCGCCCCCTTGCGAGCTGGCCAAGATTGTTAACTCTACCATTGCCGCCTGCGACGGCCTCGACGGCCGTGTCGACGGAGTCATCTCCCGTACTGACCTCTGCAAGCTCCAGTTCGACCTGAAGTCCACCATCGGCGAGTCTTACTACTGCGCCGCAAAGACCAGCAGCTCTCTCGGCTTTGGCTTCAACAAGAGACAGGCCCAGGGCAGCACCACCAGCTACCAGCCCGAGCAGAACGGCACTGTCACCGAGCAGGCCGTCGCCGTCGCTCAGGCCATCTACGATGGTGTCTTCAACTCTCAGGGCCAGCGCGCCTACCTGTCCTGGCAAATCGGCTCCGAGCCTGGCGACGCCGCTACAGTTTACAACAACGAGACCGACACCTGGGAGCTCAGCATCCCCTCCACCGGCGGCGAATACGTCACCAAGTTCGTCCAGCTCCTCGACCTCGACAACCTCTCCGACATGAACAACATCACCTACGACACTCTCGTCGAGTGGATGAACACCGGCATGATCCGCTACCTCGACAGCCTCCAGACCACCCTCCCCGACCTGACCCCCTTCCAGTCCTCGGGCGGCAAGCTCCTCCACTACCACGGCGAGTCCGACTCCAGCATCCCCGCTGCCTCCTCCGTTCACTACTGGCAGTCCGTCCGCTCCGTCATGTACCCCGATGCCAAGGATGAGGAGGCCATCAAGTCCCTCGAGGACTGGTACCAGTTCTACCTGGTCCCCGGCGCCGGCCACTGCGGCACCAACAGCCTCCAGCCCGGCCCTTACCCCCAGAACAACATGAACATCATGATCGACTGGGTGGAGAACGGCAACAAGCCCAGCCGCCTCAACGCCACCGTCACCTCGTCCACCAACGTCAACGCTGGCGAGACCCAGATGCTTTGCCAGTGGCCTACCCGTCCCGTCTGGCGCGGCAACAGCTCCGACTTTGACTGCGTCAACGATGCTAAGTCGATTGACAGCTGGACTTACACCTTCCCTGCCTTCAAGGTCCCTGTTTACTAAGTGCTCATGGGATGGCGATCGAGATTGGCTGTCTTTCTGTCATCCAAGGTCAAGATGAGATAGGATCCAGGAAAGGTGCAGGATCAAAGTTTCTTTTTTATTCATTATCGCTCTGGGGCATGTAGCATGTAGTAGGCCCAAGATGCGACTGTACATAGCTTAGCTTTCATTTCAGTACATACATGTTTTCCAAAGAACTATAACATTGATGGCCAAGTTCGTATACCGTATGACAAATATGATGAGATAGTTGTCAAATCGATGTGATCTTGTCATCGCCCGTCTCCTCGTTAACCCTTACAGCAGCCGGATCGTCTTCCCTAGCGTCCATGTCGCTCTTTCCTTTCAATTCTACTGAAGATGCCACGCCAACTTCGGACCGGGTGCTTGTCTCCTCGTCAGTGGACCCAGTGTCGTGCTTCTTGTCCCTTTTCAAATAGTAGTGCATGATCCAGGTGAACACAATCAACGCGATCGCGCATCCCAGACAGAACGAGAAGCCTTTCCTGTACCTCGGCGACTCCACTGTCGGGAATGTGAGCAAGGGCGTCCATGCCGTCGAGCTTTGCGACAGCAAGTTAATAAGAACCAAAGTGAAGCTCCGTTCCTCGGGGCTGTCTCGCAGCAGGTTGTTGACCCATCCATGGAACACAGAAGAAAGAGCGTTGGACCAATACATGGTCGCGAATCCGAACCAGAGACCGCCCTCGGGAACAGTCCATATCGTCAGGAAGATGAGACCGATGGCGTTGAGGACCGAACAAATCGTGATCGACCAGGCCGGACCAAGGAACATGTCCGAAGCGAAGCAGGCGATGAGGGTGTAGGCGATTCCCAGCGCGGGAGAGATCGTGCCCAGCTCATTGATGCGTGCGGCGCTATACCGCCCAAGACTCTTGATCCAGAGCAGGTAGGAGCCCGTGTTCTTGTGGATGCCTGCGTTCCAAAAGAGGACGTCAGTCGTGATGACGAGCCAGAAGCGGAAGCCGAGCAGGGTGCGCTTGATGTGGCCAAACTTCATCTTGCCGTGCAAGACGTGGCCGTGTTTCTCGAGGCGTTCGCGGGCGGTCTCGATGTCCTTGTCGTTGACGCACCACCTGTTGGGCTGGTCTATGGTACCGGGGATTACGAAGAAGCCGAAAATACCGACGGGGATGGTGATAAGCGCACAGATGATGTACATCCATCGCCAGCCTTCCATGCCTGTGGTATTTTTCTCCCGTTAGCGATTGAGGGGATCATGAGAGTGAGTTTTGGCGGTGATTGTTCGTACCGTGAACTCCTTCAAGCGAGCTTGATGCGCCGGCCTGGATAAGACCGGCTGTCAATGTGCCGGCAGCAAGACCGGTATAGAAGATACCGCCGCGACGAGCAATTTCGTGGCCTCGATACCATGAGCCTTTCTCAGAGTCAGCGATGAGCCCGAACATCATTCAAGTCTTCAGTGCGTACCAAACACGTAATGCATTGCTGGGAAGAATGCGGCCTCGAACCATCCGACCATAAATCTGTAAGCGGCCAGTTCAGCGTAAGAGTGGACGCGATACTGTAGAAGCGTGAATACCCCCCACAGAACGTCGCACATTGGGATGAGATATTGGATTGGGACATAGGTCATGATGAAACTGGTTTCCTGTTAGTGTATAACAGCAGATCCGGGGAGCATTATCCATACAGGAAAGGGATCTGGCCCAAGACTGATCCAAGAGTGAACAGCGTTTGGAGCTGAACAAGCTCGTTTCCGTAGAACCCGAGATCCTCCTTCATACCGGCGACGTAGGCATTGTTCAAATTGGATTGATCGACATATTTGACCCAGTAGCCTTTCGAGCTGAACGTTAGCCCGATAGCCGGGAGACTACGCGAGAAGGATAGAGCGTACCGAGGACCGAGTAAGGTACCAAGAGGAGGTCAATCTTCGTGATGAGACGCCTCTCCTCCTTCGTATCATCTGGCGAGAACCATCTCCACTCCCACCACTTATCTCTTGGGACCGACTCTTTCAGAGCAGATGCCATCGTCGCAGAGTCTTTGAGGCAATCGACCAGAGACCTCTAAGATGAGAACGATTGAGAGTTGGAAATAGTTCGAGACATACTCGCTCGGCGACGGATAGCGAGTTGATAAATAACGATTCGTGAGCCCTCGTTCAAGCTGAATCCCACTCGGAAGTTGCCCGCCATTGCGCAATTCTTACCGAGCTCCTGAGGAGCAGCGTCAAGCTCAGCACTTCAATGGATGGTCGCAGTGAATCCCGCCGATGCGGCCAAAAGTGGACTCGTGGTATCGTCGAGATGTGGGAAGAGAGAACAATTGAACTGCCAAGAGGATAGGATTTTGCGATATCGGTAGAGAGTTTTATCGACCAGGTACTCAAATGTTTGGATTGGCTGGTCATCCTGCAAGTTAGCTGGCGAAAGCCAGGCATGTCAATGGTGTGCTGCAACCCCACAATGGTGATAGACAACCTTGCTTTGACGTCTTTTGGAGTTGAACCTCATTCGACCAGTCTCGCGTGGTGCATAGCCGCATCTGACCCATGTAGCGCAGAGAGCCTAGATCTTGTGTTGAAGGAAACTTAGTCATTCGTTGTGAAGTCGAGTCTCAGTCTGTCCGGGGGTACGATGAAATAAGATCTATTCATCAACAACTCTCATATGGAGTAGACCCAAGCGTTTTCTACCTCAATTCTGACTCGACGCGCAAAGATCGGGTGACAACAACGGGCGGCACAGTCACAACTTCAGTAGCGTTCATCTTACCACCTCTGAAGGCGTACGTAAAAGTCCACCCAGACCCAGCACCGCCGTGTTCACCCTTATTGTTGACAACAACAATACCGCTCGACACAGCCGGATACTTCTTGACCATGCGAACTACGGCATCTCTCGCCGCCTCCTGGGGGCTCATTCCTCTTCGCATGCTCTCCACAGCCTGATAACAGGGCAAGAAACGCATCATGATGTCACCGTCGCCAGTCGCGCCGCATGCTCCGACATCACCGTCAACGTAAGAACCGGAACCTGTGATCGGGCCGTCGCCAACGCGTCCGGGTACCTTGAAGGAAGCTCCATTGGTAGAGGTACCAGCCGCCATGATCCCATTCGCATCCAGAGCCATCATGGATATGGTGTCGTGTGACGCCTGCGCTGAATTCGGCGCAATGAGGTCAAAGTAGCCAGAAGAGCTGGAGTCGAGCTCCACGGGCGCGTACGGCCCGCACGCGGCCTTGGGATCCGGCGTGACGTTCTGCCTGTAATTCGACTGGCAGTTCCCGGCCCGCCAGGCGGCGCACCGCTCCGCCGAGGCCTCGGTAGTCAAGCTCTCGGCGACGAAGCCGTTCTCGATGGCGAATTCCGTCGCGAGGTCTCCGGCCAGCATGGTGTGCGAGGTATACTCGAGCACGTGGCGAGCGACGCCAATGGCGTTCTTGACGCGGCGCAGGGCGGCAACGGAGCCGGACTTCATGGTAACGCCGTCCATGATCATGGCGTCGAGGGTGGTCTCGCAGTTCTCGCCGGGGGAGCCGCCGAAGCCGACGCTGCCGTCGCATTGGTTCGCCTCACAGGTCGCGCAGCCGATCTCGACGGCGTCGAGGGCCGAGGTGCCCGGCTTGACGAGTGCCTGGTAGGCGGCGTCTGTGGCTGCTGTGAAGGGGCCGCCCCAGGTGTTGATGACCATGGGAAACCCCGGCGATGCTTGACCGAGGACGCGGTGCCCGGTGAGAAGGGAGAGGAGGAGTGGGGCGAGGGTGCGGGGGCGGAGGTCCGGCATTGTGGGCGGCTTCCGGAGACGATGCCGGATTAGTGAATGAAGGTCCAAGGGGAAGATGAGAGGGGCTCAATGGCTCGATAGCATGAGCTTGGCGGCTATTTGCCAGAATGAGTGACGATGGCGCAAGTAGGATGAGGTGAGACTGGCCGACCGGTTTGCGTAGGGAGGCTTTAATAAAGAGCACGGTCGCTCAAACCACCGTGCCGGTGTTGGTGTTGTTTACCCCGCGCGATAGGCTGATCTGCGCCGATAAACAGGGGTCAAGGGGGCATTTGGATGCTGGGTCCGAAGCGGATAAAGGTTGGAATTGCAGTTGATACCACGTTACCCTTGGGTTGCCAAGCAAAAGCCAATGCTGCGCTATCAACCTTCCTTTCTAAGTATCATGACGAGGAGGTTGGTGATGCCAAGAAAGGATATTGGAGAGGATATCGGCGGTTAGTTAAAGCCTAGGCCATAACCTCTGGCTTGAAAAGAATGACCCAAGCGGACGACGATATGTGGAAATTGCGGCAGCCGAGTGAGGGAGAGGGTGAGATCGACAGCATTTATTTTGACATTGTCTATGAGCTAGCAGCATGTCGACGCTAATTTGCCTTTGATCTAGGCCGAGATCAAAGGCTGAAGCTTACAAAGATCTCTCACAACATTTCTGCGCAGAAGTCCTTGACCGCATCCAGAACCTTGTTGATATGCTCTTCCCCATGAGTAAGGTTCAGCGCAAGGAATCCACGACGTCCGACGTATATCCTCTTGCTGAGAAGGTAAAAGAAGAAGAGATCCTGCAACTTGCCTGCCGAAGGACCCTGGAAGTGCAAGCCAATCGCACTCCCATAGCCAGTCAGCGTGACAATGGACGCATCCTTGGAGCCGAACACTTCACGCAGCTCGTCGCGAAGCTTGTTCCCCAGCTCATTGTTCCTCTCAAGCGCCGTTCTCGACAAAAGCTTGGTGGCAGCGACACCCGCCGTCATGGAGAAGACGTTGTTGTTCCATGTTCCCGAATGGAAGAGACTCCGCGGTCCCTGTGGGTCGTACAGGTCCATGATGTCCTTGCGCCCACCAAACGCGCCAAACGAGAAGCCGCCGCCGAAGTGCTTGCCGATGGTGGTCATGTCCGGCGTGATGCCGTAGATGTCTTGCAAGCCGCCGTAGTTGAGTCGCGAGGTGATGACCTCGTCAAAGATGAGGATGGCGCCGATGCGCGTGGCTTCGTCGCGGAGGAACTGGAGGAACTCTTTTGACCCCTCAAGCATTCCTGCTGCGCCTTGCATTGGTTCCACAATGATGATGCCGATATCGTCGGTGATTTGCGATCGGGTGTACTCAATGTCGTTGTACCGGCCGTACGCGAAATCGTGGGGAAGAATCAGCGGGTTGTTGGGCGTGAAAGCTAATGTGCCACCGTGATAACCATCTTCAAACACCAAGACCTGAGCGTGGGGCATGATTTAGCGAAAGATCTCGGGCTCGAGGAACTGTTACAGCCTACCTTCTTTCTTCCAATGAAATGCAACGCCGTACCAATCGCCATGGTGTTCGCTTCAGTTCCCGAATTGCAAAACCTGATGGCATCGACGCTCTGGAATCTCTCAACCAATAGGGCAGCCAATTCGCCCTCCTTGGGACTCGGCCCGCCCAGAGTGAATCCCGACTTGGTAACGCTGTTGATCGCAGCGATGATGTCTGGGTGAGAGTGGCCGAACATACCGGCGCAATATTCGGACACGAAGTCGAGGTACTCGGCGCCGTCCACGGATATCAGGTGACAGTCGTGGCCTCCGGAGAAAGCCAATGGGAAAGGCAGGTAATGCAGCACGGATCTAGTTGTACCCCCAGGTAGCGACCCTGAGGCTGTCTTGTTGACTTGCAGCGAGCCCTGGTTCTCTGCGACATACTGTTCGACGTATGTGTTCAATTGCTGCTCGATGTTCGCCGCAGGCTGAGCTGCCTCCCCGTTTTGTTGGAGTTCCACCATGATTGCTCGATTGCGGAGTACACAGTCTAAAGATGCTTCACGTCTTGCTGGTGAGTCTTTCATCGATGAACAAGAGGAGATAGGAACATGCGCATACCTTTCTAATCAATTGATGGATTAAATACTGGCGAACTTTGCCGCGGGACCAGGTCCGATCTGACCGCTTCTGTCAATGTTGTGTGTTCTTCGTGGACTATAGATAAGATGAACCCCGCTCGGGTATGCGACATCGGGATGCCGAATCATGTTCGGGAAATTTGTGCCAGCCAAAATCTCGGGATAGATGCACTAGCCAAGGGCTCATACCCGAGAATGGGGAGACTTCTTCCAAGTATAGCTTGAATTCGTTCTCAAACCTCAGCATACGATCGACCCAGATGTATGAACTGTCAGGTTTCTTTCCCGAAAGCGAAATGGCTCGAAAGCCGACAGACTGCTTGGCAGCATGAATTGGGTGTCAGGTTGTGTGCTGCTCATCGTGTGTGGGAGAGGAGGCCCATGAACCAATGGTTTTACACGATTTCTCCCCGGACCCATGTGTCAAACACCTCGTTTCCGCCAAGACTCGGCACTCACGTTCCCTGTTGTACACCAAAGAGGGTCGAATTTATCCTTGTGTTGAAGAGAAGAGAAAGGGGACGAAGCGAGAAATTTTCTAGTTGTGCAAGTGTGAAACTAGGTGGACTCTTGATGCCGCCTCTAGCACTGCTATTGAATGTAAATCTATGGAGTTCTATCCTGCTTTTTGTTTTGCCCAAAATATGATGTTCAACTTCCTTTCGCAGAATCACCAAATCATGCACGCTCAACGCTACAGACTTATGATAATGCATCGACCGGTAGGCGTCACAGACGCGGCCTCACCAAGCCACAAGGTGTGACGACTAATGCAACGCAGAGACTTTGTGGCCTCATGCCTTCTCGTTGTTCGACGTCTTCTCCCTCATCCTCGCCGCCCTCCAAGTCTGTCCCCAGTACCAGTGTATCACCGCCAACGGCCCAACAGCAACCGTGACGAGGGCCAAGCCCAAGAACGCGGCGCCAGGCCCCGTGGTGGCAACAAAGTTGTCTACCAACGCGACGCCAATAGCTCCCAGACCGCACCTGACCAAGTTATTAATCGCGGTGGCACTAGCACCCTTTCCAGGACACAGGTCGGTGACGAGGGTCTGATTGAGGGCAAAGACGGCGTTGCTGGTCGCAGCGATGAAGAACTGGAGGACGAGTGGGACTGCGATCCAGCCTGATCGCGAAGTGATGGAGGGG